CCCTTCAATGGGATAGGGCCCGCTTGGTGCTCTCAAGCCGTGTGGGCTCGCTTTTGCCATCTGCACCCGCCGGCTCCGAAACCACTTGGCATGGTTTTTGGTCTTGATGCTTGCAATGTGCCCGCCGTAGCGCCCAATTCGGCCGGGGTGGGCCTCCTCCGCCAGATTGCTAGCGGGCAGCCTGGGGCGCTCGCTCCTTTGGGGTGCACGGCGTGGGCCTAGGCTTGCAGGTGGCTAGGCACAGGGCGGCCGTGCATGTTGTGGGTGCGGGGCGCCGTGCGGCTTGCGGATGTAGCCGCGGGGTGCGCGGGGTGTGCGGAGTGGGCGAGAGAAAGAAGATTACAATTTGATAGGTGGTCGCCTCTTTTAGGGGTTGGCCCCCGCCCGGATCACGTGACAATGTGGCCGCTGGGCTCATACAATTGTACCTCATTCCCCATTACGATTCCGGCGAGGGGATCTTAAGTACTAGATATATATCTGTCAATAACTCCTCTACCACTAACCCAATGGAGGCGGTTCAAGAACCTATGAGTTCCTAATAGAATCTACTATCATATGAGATATTCAATCGTATTGCTCATTGTACTTTAACCTCCTAGTAACCCAATTACCAGAGACACATACTACCCCCCGTGCTTTACAACACAATATAGAGCGGCTACGGTGGAAGTGGGGTCGATGAGCAGCCGTTATGACCACAACAGAAAGCGGTGGGCATGAGCGCCGGCAAAGATGTGAACCCTGTGAGATGCTCGCCTCCTCCGCGGGCCACGGGAATGAGGATGCACAGTGAGGGAGCAGGCACTGCGCCAACATTGGCGCACGCAAGATAGACAGTTGGCATTGATGCGAGCTTCAGTGGTCATGGGTGTGCATTCAACGGCAGGGTCGATCCACCATGCAGGGTGCGCGCACCTCTGTCAAGGCAGGCCGCAGCTGCGCACTGTGGACAACGGTTTCATACATGCCACGGCAATGCTTGGACCGCTGCATATTGGAGGACATTGGGTCGGTGGTGCAGGTGCTGCAATGTCCACACATCAGGCGGGCAGGTGAGAGTTCTTTACCAAGAATCCTGGCGAATGCATTTTCAGCTTTTAATGTCAGTGTGTCTCCGCTTGCAATCGGTGTGCGCATCCATGCAGACTACTGTGTGTAATGCATCACCATGCCTCACGATGTCTTCAGACGCAGATGCACTGCATTGACAGCGCACCGACACCGCATAGCTCGCTGCAAAAGTGCCAATAGCGAGCGGCTGCATTGAAGGTTTCTTGACTTGGCTTGGAGCGGCTGACTATGCCAAACTCGGGGGATAACGTTACATTTCCGTGGGTGCGTCTATTCGTGCTTCCAGACGTTCTCAGACATTCTCAGACGTTAGCCTTGCCCGATATTGAACATAGTTCACTGTTCGCGCAGGCGCTCTTCCCTGAACAGGACGATTGAGGGACATCTGAAATAAGGAGAGCACCCCTTTCTTCGTCACCACGTTTTTGCGCTTGGCTGGCAGCCACAACACTTTGAGCCCTATGGCGGTACTGGCAGAGCCAAGAGGGCGCGACAGGCCTGCCGGGGCATAAGCTCTCATTGGCCCTCTATTTTCGGGGCGGTTAGAATTCCGAGGGGATGATTTGCGCTAGACGGGGAGGAAAAAACAATTTTGGATGCTAGCAGATTCCCTTGCTCCTGTAAAGACTGAACGGGAAAGGCTTGCAAGGCGATTGGCGGACAGAATCAAGAACATTGCCTCCCTCTGCCTTTAAAGCTCTTGTCGTTGTGCACGTATAGGGTGTCAAGTGAAGTCAAGATAGCTGTGCTGTCTTCAGCAGCAGCGGAACCGCAATGCCATGAGGCAAAATGCCGTAAACATCCAATTGGATGTTGCAACGGAGCAATTCATTGAAAAACTTGGCGGGGTGCCCTGAATGTGCACGTAACATCAACTCAAAAGCGCTGCGCCCCGTGTGCTGAGCGCTGTTGCATGCCGTGTTTGCGTCATCCCGCCGCACCAACCCCGGTCACCTTGCCAAATATTGGCCAAGGAAACGGGTCTGGGTGCAGCCAGATTGTGGAACGTGCACATCTCATCTTCGTGCACATCACCGCCCTTGGGGCTTTGCCCGTCTGTGCTTGCAAGCACAGACGAGCAAAGCCCAAGAGCTGATATGTGCACGAAGAAATTCAACGCCGTGCATCTGAAGCTTGCCAGGGCGAGTAGGAACGTTTGGAAATTTGCGTAAAACCTGACACACCCCCAAAAACGGGTCTTTGGCGGGCGACCTTGAGTAGCTCTAAGAATCTTGGGGACCCACAATAGCCCGAAAATGTGCTATGTCGAAAACATTCAACTGAATGATCCCCGAGATCGGCATCATAATTAGACTTATGTGACTATGTTCCAATTGATAATCAACAGCCCTGGCAATTTTGAATGTCGCTCAAGGCCCCTATTCGCAGCTTCAATACAGTTTGGAAGGAGGAGTAGTGACCAACATTGGCCTGCAAGAAAGCCCTCCAATATTCCGCCAATTCCGCCCTTCACACTGTCCCACACAACTATACCACGTTCGTATGTGCCCGCTGTATGGAGTTCCACTGATTAGCATCCTGTCACCCAAATGGGCGACATTCAATCAGATTCTGTTTACCGACGGAACAAGGCAACGTACCATATCAAACAACGAATCGAATTTACTGTGTTTTGGTGTGTTCCCTCGGGGCATGCAGACATGAAATTGAGCAACAGCGGAGATCCCACCGTGCAGCGAATTGTCGGCTGTGGGGGGAAGAGAAATTCCCAAGGAAACAAGCGCAACATTCACCCAGGTCCCCCGGGTCCATCGTGCAATTGCAGTTGTGGTCCGTCAAATGGATGAAGATGCAGGACAAGTGCTAAATTGTGGGCGTGTTCCAATTGCTTCCGGGGCACCACCAAAGCAACCCTGCAGTTTTGCCATTCGCTGAGAAGCGAGCGAGGGATTGGCACCGTGGACGCATCATGCATTTCAGGGCCCAGAACGCCAGTGCACGGTTTGCGTCGCGAATTGGCATGCCAATTCATGAGCACACGAAAACGCGTGCTTCATCGTTTGCTGGGCCCCAGCACGTCGAGCCGCGTTCCCCCAGTGTCCATTATTTTGTTGCCCCTCACGGGTACTGCGCTGTGTACGTCACATATTATTGTGCTCATCACATACTAACATGCAAACTGTATTGCAGCATACAGTTGCACATGCAGACACATTTCCATGCATAAACGTACATGGTGCGCTGCATTTGAGTTTCGCTGTGGGGCTCTAGAAACGAAGTTCACTCGCTTGTTAATGGGTATCTGCCAAGAGAGACGATAGGTGGGCTGCGTTGGTGATTCGAACGGTGCATTCATTTCTTGCGCAATGAGGGCAAGGTCGGCATCCATTCCCTTTCCCAGTACCTCGCTGCCATTTCCTTGGTGCACCACGTGCCTGGGCACCTTGGTTTTTCAGGTTTCTGCCCCGTCACCTGCATCATCGCCCGCGTTTGGCGACGAACCACTCCAGCGCCGGCGCAACATCACCACCCAGTGGAAATCCATTGCAATTACATTTGCCAAAATCATGGCAAAGCCACCACCCAGTGCCCATCGACATGCTCATCCACATCCTTGACGTCGGCTTGACCACAAAGGATGGGGTCCTCCTGCGAGCGGCTTGTGCAGCTCACATTGGCTACATCTTTTTCAATTGGGTGCAGTCGGGCCATTTCATTCTGGTGGAGGACATCTGGGTGAATGATTGAATTGCTTTATTTGGGGAGCACAAGTCCAACTTGCGCAAGAAGGAGGTCTCCCAGTTGCACTACTGCTCGTGGCCTTCCCGTGGGGCCCCAAAGGCCGTCGACTTTTTTCAGCATTGGAATGCACACCGGAACAATGCCTGGGTGCAGACAGATCAAGCGCCCCATTATTTCTATCGATTGCCTGGTGGCTTCACGCCCTGCTCCATGACAACGACGGCCTGGTTCTCGTCCTTGTTGGCACGGGAGCCGAGCATCGCCCAAGAGTCTTTTGCTCACCATGGCCTGCATGGCGGAGGCACTTCCAGTTGCTTTGCGTCGTAGGTCGCGGACCGGTGTATCAGGGACCGGGGTGGGTGGAAGTCGGACGCCCGCCGGTCGTACATGGACATTTTACGTTTACCCATGGAGTGGGATTTTCGTCTGTTTGGACGGATGACCATCGCCGCCCGCAACCTGCACGAGTAGTTCGGGCACATCTTCTGGCCCTGAGGGGCCTCGAGTTCCTTGTGAGAGTGAATGGGCAAGCTTGACGGATGGGGACCTCAGGTACAGCACAGTGCATTGTGGTGAAGTTGTGTGTTTGTCATGGGGGAGTACATGACCGGGAGGGCTAAGGAGACTGCCAAGACAGACACGACGGATCCACCCACAATGCTATCGAGCTTGTGCTGCAGAGCCAAGGACGCACCAGCGAAGTGCCAAAACTCGTGCTCAAAATTACACAAAACTTACATCATCGACGGGAGCAACTCAAATCTGGCCAACAGGCGATCCCCGAGATACACATGACGAGAAGCTCTGGCAAATCACCTCGTCCTGCAACACCGGTGGCTCGTTCGACCGCAATGATGCATGCCCTAGTTATTGATGCGTCGGCGAACCCACTGCCCCATCTGTCACGGACACAGCCGCTACCGTGGCACACCCATGCCATCCGCCCGCCAACCCGCACCCCGCCCACACATCCTGCCCAAAAGAACATGACGCTGCGGACCCATGCATTCTTTTGCCTGTGTCACCGGTCGGCGCATGAAGCAGCCCCAAACTGGAGCCTCCATACAACCCGTCACGTCCAATACTATGGTGGCGTTTCCCTATAACGACCGTCGCGAGTCCACATCCATGCACATGTCGCTCCTATGGACAATATGACCAATATTTTGATTCTGCTGTACTGCTGCAGTGCTGTATTGCCGTACTTCTGCGTTGCTGTATTGCTACCCACTCTCAAACTCCATGCCCCTGACCAATTCTCCCGCCATTCTACACAGGAGCTCGACGGCCTGCAGAGTCGGGCCAGCATCACCACCAGGGTCAGGAACCGGCCGGCTGCACAGCTGCCGAACACTCACCAGCAAATTCCGGATTTGCATGAATTCAGGCGCTTCCAGCACATCCATGGCCAGACAGCCAGCACACACTTGGAGCATTGTGCACAGGGTGGTGCTGCTGGCGTCGGGGCCAGGCCCAGAGTGCCCAGGCGCCACAGTGGCTGCGAGAGCCGTCATGGTGGAGATGCTCCGATCGAGGGTGGCGACCTGCACGGCCGCATGGGGGAGCGTCACGCAAGGAATGTGAGCGGCGAGTACAAACCGGAGAGTGCATGTGGCCAGCATGAAGCGCACAGTGAAGCACGGATGGAAACCGAAAAAATGAAAAACGCGGACCCCTCCAATTCACAGCACAGTCGTGCCAGAAAACGGAGGGCTGCCGAATGTCCGTATTGCGAATTTGAATCTGATGTTTTTATAGCTTCGCCTACACTCATGATTGGCGCTGTTGACCAGCTTCCATTAGAATCTACTCACACACGACTGAAAAGGAACTGTCGTGATTGACTCCATCAATGTTGCAAGAGATGCAAAGACACTAGCGTGAAGTGAATCGCGACATGCATTTTGGGAAGGAGGAAGAACATGGACGCGACACACAGGCGTCACCAACACCAGTCAACTTCCCAACACGTCCCTTGAAGACCAAAACCCAGATTTCGACGCTGCCCCACCTTCTGAAGCATCTCACGGCCTGTGCCCTCTGCCAGACCGTGCGGCTGGTCCAGAGGGGGTGGCCTAACGTCGCCACGGATCCCACCCTGGTGCTCCACCCCTTCGCCACCAGCCAAGGAGGGCTCCAGCGGCGCTCGGGCCGCCACAGGTGGCCCGGCAGGATGGTACCCTCCTGTGGGGATGGTGTCGGGACAAGACACTGTGCGATCATGAGCCCGCAACTTTGTCCAATCCCCCACAGAAGCGACGGGCCCCCTGTGGGGAGCCTTTGGCTGCGGCGCGGGGGTTAACGGCGGCGTGTTGACGCCCAGCTCGGACCCAAAACCTGAAGCCACGAGAGCGTCAGAACTCCGGAACGCATGCCTGTGACGTCGATGCGCCAAGCGGCTGGGTTCTCCAAAATTCAAGAGGCGCTGCTGTTGCACGAACAAGGCACTGGTGGACACGATTCTGCATTCTGAAAGGACATGGGAATTTCTGAAACAAGCAGCGAAGGAGGTATTGGGCGTCAGGAAATCATGTGGGCGCAGCTGGTGTAAGCCAAAATCTTGCCCAAGTCCTAATGCCAATTTAAATGGCCTTGGTCGCCTTTCTGACTTTGATTCAGACATTGCACAACGGTGCAAGAGCCCAGGTGCTACCCCAGCTTAACAAAAGAGGTAGCAATCGCAATGGTCTGTTTGCTTCGATGGTCCACGTCTGTCCCCCGTTGTCTAGAAGGACACGTCCGATATTCTGTGTAATATTCGGAGCAAAAAACGCACAAATTTTTCACCCGCTCTGCTCAAAAAGATTATGCTAAACATCCTTTCATGAACGCCGTGGTTTCACAAACCACAGTGTCAATGATGGTTGTTCATTCCCTTACATTACATCAAACAACTTAGGAGCTCACGCAAGCGCTACAAACACTAAGCGCAGAAGATACTTACAGCACAGCATCTGCGCTGGCGGAAAACGGTTCAAACTCTCCACGCGCGACAGGAATGGCATGCAGGACTCCAAACCTGAATGCTTTCAAGCGCACCAGCCCCTGCACGGGGACACATTGCAAGGTCTCAAAGGAAATAGTACCATCGCCACAATTGGCCTACAAAATCGACAATCTGTCAGATCGAAGTAAGTGCAGGAGACGCCTTTGTCCCAGCCAAAAGGAATGCACGGCACCACGCACCTTGGTTGCTCGCGCTGGCATCCTGCGGGTCCCTCTTATTGACCCCCGACCTGGCGTACCTCCTGGCCTCCTGAACTGCGCCGCCTCCGGGGCCGTCCGTGATGTGCCAGTTCCCGTCGTCGTCCAACGGCTGGGGCGGGGCTGCATTCATCAATCTCAAATCCTGCACACAAATCGAGCGCCTCGGGAAACATCAGGGCGGGCAATTGCAGTGAACAAGGATGACAGCAATGTGGTGCCACAGAATTTCTATCTGCTTTCATCGGTTCGCGGTCTCATTTAGTATTCATTCCTGTTTGGATCACAGTTCTGCTTGGTTCTAACTGAAGTTGAACAATTCCTGTTGGTGCAGCTGGGCTATTCGCTGGTCACGTTTTCGATTGCTACTGTGGGCAGGCAGGGGCGCACATAAATGTGCTTGGAAGCTGAAGTAATTGACGTTCTGTCCAGCAGCAATCGCGACTCATGACAATATAGCTAGCTGTGTATAGTCAATATGGTGATATCACTATGCTCATGGTTAAACATCATTCCGCGCAACTGATAGGGGCGACGACGGATCAGCGCATCAGCTTTGTGACATCTTCCTCGAACCCAGGAGCAAATTTTGGATAATTGTATGCCTCAATGTAGAGGCGGGTAGTCAGTGCATGAGCGAGACGACACTGGGACAAACAATGGACATACTGTTGTTGTGCGGTTGGGTGGCGACATGGCCCTTGGCGGCTGGCACACAATTAATGGAATTTCATCATCAGACATGCACAAATGTAATCTACATGCAACCAAGGCGAAGCTCACCTTGTCCGGCGAGAAGGACGACACCCCGTCGTCCGAGGCGGCCTCCTCTCGTTCTCCTCCCATCTCGCTCTCCCCCTGCGGCGACCTGCCGCCGTCCCTATCCTTCCGGATGGCGTGGTTGACCTTGACGAGCATGGAGGACCTCAGGTCGCGGGTGGGGCAGACCACACGCTTGCGAGACGGGATCTTCACGCGCCGCCCCCTGATCTGGAGCTCGTACGAGAAGTGTATGAGCACGTCGTGCGCGAACACGCTGACGGAGGTGACGGTGGACAGCAGCAGGGCCCACTTCTGGCGCTCCTTGACGAAATTGCAGTATATAAGGTTCCTGTCGAAGGCAATCAACCAGCCCATCAGCGGCTCCGCCAAACCAGGCAACCCATGTGTCGCCCGTGATTGCAACCACTGGAAACATCAAAACAAAGGTCGCAGTGCCTGCAGTCATTGCAAGTGAGACGCGAGCAACTTCACACACATGTTACCCCTAAACCCTTAACCCTAAACCCTTAACCCTTAACCCTAAAACAACCCTAAACCCACCGAGGGGGGGGGGGGGAGAACTCCTCCTTCGGCCAATGAACTCGTAGCAAAGTACTGGAGAAATGCTTCCGTTGTTTAGGCAGGGGGCTGTAGGTATATTTGCCCAGAGGGTGTTCACATGCAAGCGCACGTCAGCAAATTGGCACCACAAGCACAGCCACGAGTCCACCACTTGGTCCCATTTTAGTGCGCTGTGTATTGAAATTGCAAGAAAAAATTCATTGAAATGCAAGGAAAAAAAAGAGTTGCCCGACAAGCATTAGAAAACATACACCATGCGCAATCCACATCGGTTCAACAGGGATCGAAATCGCGCAAGGTGTGACATGCTGCTTTGGCGGCACCTGTCTGTGATGATGAGCGCATTCGTGGCTTGGATGATGTAATCCATGACAATGTCGTCGTGGTACTTGCCGCCCGCCAGCTTGGCCGTCAGCTTCCGCCACTTGTTTTCGACGTCGCTGCCTGCTTGGGGGCCCAGATTGGCGCCGAAGCTCCGAGGGTGGCGAATGCGCGTGAGCTGCACGTGTTCAACCTGGCGCCCAACAGGTGTTGCCCTAAGCACTGCGGCCTTCCGTTTTGAGCACTGAAGTGGAGCTCTTACAGAAGGCAACAGCTTACAACGCGCAGTTGCCAGCTGAGGCAACAGTGCTCTCAAAAGTAAACGGCACTAGAAAGTGGAGCGCGTTCAAAATTGGATGGCAATTGAGCTGCAGCGCACTGAGAAGGATGCAGCACTAACAATGCACGGCGACAGGAAAAGTGCTGAGTGCCTGAAGCATACAGAGCACTTGAAACTGGCAAGGTATGTATGCAGCACGTATGCAGCAGATGCTGAAAGCACAGAACAGCTGCGAAGTGCAACGCAGGTAACAAATACAAATGTACCATTAAATTACATCAGCGCTGGCCTACCCATCAACATTTGTTGAAATGAGTGGGAAGTAGGGTAGGAGATTGAGACTGAAGAAGAGCGTGGCGGGTTTCATAGTGCAGTAGAGAAGCGGCGTGTGCGTAACAGCCCCGCTTGCAAATGTGCCCGACATCACGTGACTAACACCAGCGTACGTAATCCGCCACCTAACTGCGTTCGGAACCAGCCGCTTCCCTGCACTCACGAACCTCTAACAAGGGGACCGTTCTAGCAACCCAGGCGCTTGAACCCTGTTTGAAATTTACCAATTGAAAATTAGCAACGAAACCACGTTTGGGACTGCACGATCTGGTGCACTATAAACACAAAACAAGAACCAATCAGTAAAACCACACAAAGAAGCACAGTCACACAATAAAATCAGTACAGGATTTCAGCAACTCTATGTGACGGAAACAGGGAACGAACCTTTGTTGAACTGTCATTTCCTTTGCTAGCGAAGCAGGGTACAAAGAAGTCCACAATCCAGAGAGCAGAACCCTTTTTGGAAGGAATCCTAATAGCCCACATTCCCAAATACTGGAGGGAGAGGGACGCTCTAATGGGCAAACACACTGCAGCGCCATTGCTTCAGCGAATCAAGCAGCGCCGTTACTTAAGCGGATCATCAGAGCCATGACTTAACCACATCAAGCAGCGCACCTCGTCTCCCAGAGTCTTGATGCCCCCCCCAATGCCATGTGCCGCCTTTGCAAAGCACTCCAGCATGCCAGAGGTGGGTTTAGTGACAATGCCCACGACGCCGGTGCACACGCCTTTGGCGAAGCCCTTGACGCCGCCCTCCGCCGCACCCACCACCGGGTCCATGACAATGCCCGTCACGCCGTTCACGATTCCCCAGCCCAGCGTGTGAAAGCCCTGGATGACGTTCTCCTGTTGAGAGGGAGGGGCCGGAACTGGAGAGGGTGAAAAACTGTGGCGCGAAAATGTGGCGACATTGTGGCGGACCGTGATGATATGTTTACAGGAAAACATCAAAACACCAAAAATCAAAGCCAAAACCAGAAAGTATGTCAAAATTGGGTTCCAACCACATAACAAGACACATTCAACATTAAAATAGCATTCCAGCGGCTGCAGGGACGCGGACTGTTGCATGCAATGGTGAGATATATTAACCGTGCAACAGCAAAGACACAGGCAGCGAAGAACAATTCGGCCACAGCGACAAACACAGCCACAGCGCAGCAAGTGACCTGGGCGGACAAGAGACTACAGAGAGGAACACGGCCTCAGAAACAGCAGACGCAGAAACACAGAAACAGGAGCGACGTTCCCCACCCTGTTGGTGCCGTGCCTCGACTGGAACCTCTGATAGTAGACATCGTCCAGTGACAGCGCTGCCAGGCCCTTGCTGACCCCGCCTGTCACGTGGCTCACTGTGTCGAACACGCCGTACATGGAGTTCTTGATTAAGCTCATGGTGCCTGCGGCCAGGCCCCGGGTGAAGGCCTCTGGACTGTGCACGATGCCCTTGGCGGGCTCGTAGAAAAAGCTGGCGACCCCAGTGATGAGGGAACTGCCCAGCTTGATGGGCGTGCCCAAGATGTCCACAGACCCGAGGATCTTGTGCACGTCTTTCAGAACCTGCGGGCAGCCACACGGAGTGGGGGACAAATGAGACAACGAATGTAAGCAGGTAGTGTGAAAAGAATAGTAACAAGCAGTTCGAATGCACAATACAGTACAAACAAGTGGTAAAATTGAAACAGTGACAAAAGTCGCACCACTTGGTGGCACTCGACTGTGCCCATTTTGCCCACACGGGTGTTTAGTTGCCAGGTAGAAAACAAGCAAAGCCCAGCAAGAAATAACCAAACAAATTGATTAATCCATAGGAAATTGATAAGACGCAAACAAACGGCTGGATGAATACAGTGCCTTGTGAGTGACGCACATTCATGCTCAAGAAGTGCTTATCCTGTAGTTTAGCAGCAGAACCAGCAATGGTTTAGCAATATATTTGCTTGCTACTCTGTTGAAATCGTATCAGTTCGGGTTCTGCCCGCAGGGTCATGGATATTGTCCTCTTTACAGTGCGAAGTTCGCACTGGACATGCACAGAAACGGCCACCGCATGGTCAGTCCATCAGCCGTTGCATTTCAAGCGAACATGGGCATGTAGCAAGCATTCATGAAATTCATTCGCGTGGATCGACGATTCAGAATGCCGCACTCTCTTTCGTGCACCTGCACTTGCAGATTTCTGTGCCTGTTGGCAGCTTTGGAAAGACTATAAACGATTCTTGCTCCGCACTACACTCAGCGTTCGTTCCTTTCTGCCTTATAAACAATCGGCATCCTGGGAGTCATAAACAGCAATCAACTTCCTGCGTGCATTCATCTTGCAGCAACCGTTACGTGGATATTCATCAGCCTTATAATGACGGTCCGCAGAAGTTTGCAAGCAAACAGCAAGCATGGGTTCATCTTCTTTTCCCACCTGGAGCGTCACATGGCGTGCGATCTGATTGACCAACTCGCTGGGCCTCATGAAGGCATTCCGCAGCATCATGGCGTTTATGCGAAGTGGCACGTTGTGGAAGTCGAAAAGGTTCAGCCCCAGCGCCTTTGCCGTGCTGTACCGCCGCGACGCCTCCGGATTGTTCTTGAAGCCGGGCGTGGGCAGCAGGGTGACATTGACCTTTATGGGCTGGATCTTCAACACCTCGAAGTACCAGCGGTCACCCTTCCTGTGCCACCACTGTGCCGAATTCAGTTGAGAAAGGAGTAACGAACGCGGCAGGTGCACTGTGCTTCTGTCGCCTTTGCCTTCAAGGACAGTTGGAAGATTTCTACGCCTTGCAGATGTTTGAGGCGATGCCTCGGTGCATGGATAATGCAACAAAGCTCGGTTAATCCCACTCACCCAAATACAATATACATGTTTTTAGGAGACCAAACCAATTCTTGGGTGCTGTCACACAGTACCATGAATGAGTGTAAGATGGCATCCGCCATAGATCGGCAAAATTGCCAACTTGTCCAGTTGTATTGCTCTAGATTCTACTGGTACAGTCATGCACTGTAGTACATAGTACCAGCAACGCACTCCCAACTGTAATGCCATCCCAAGTTCCAAATTCGGGACTGGTCACACCTCTGCGTGGCGTCCACTGGGCCCATGTCACAGGGCTTCATGACTTCCTCCAGGATGGCATGCACCTCTGGCTGCGCCGCCAGGCTGCTGCTGGTCCGTCTATGGTCGCCACGGCTGTGGCCGCCGCTGTGCTGGGAGGCATACTCCTGGGACATGTCCTCAAACCACTTGAGCATCTGGCCACACACATACGCAAGTGTATTCACAACTAACCTGAAACGTTTGGGGTTTTGATGCACCGGCAGAAGAGTCTCCTGACAATAGGCCATTGGTGGGCGGGCGCACAGTGTTGGAACAATGCAACAGGGTCAATAAGGCCTCTTAAAAGTGCCCAGGCTGTCTGAAGCCTCAATACATGTATTGTTGCTGCGGAGGAATTTTGCATCGCATCAACGGCACTGTGCCAGCAGTCTTGCATCAAGAATTGGCAAACTCCGAGGCAGGACACGACCATGGCTGCAATGAATTTGGCAATGCACAACGTACCACTCACTGGGGCACACGTGCCCAATTCCAGTGATATTGAACAATATTCAGCACATCCACACCATAGATCAATGCAAACGCAGCAATGACAGCATAAACGCAAACAAAATAGGGGCCAAACACTTCCTGTCGATCCGATGTGAGGGTTTTGCTGAATTGTGGCCTGCGCATATCCGTCTGCAGTGCCATTTTAGTGCCATCCCGGTGGATGCTTCGCCGGGACGCTGCATCACTGCAGACACTTCTTCCAGCCAGTTCGACTGTCCATTGTGCCAGTGTTCCTCTTGGCACTTAACTTGGGTCGGTCCTCGGAAATGGAAGCTTGTGAAAGTGCGCCTGGCACCCATTAATATGAACCAAACTGATGTGTTTGCTTGCATTCCGCAAGTAGCAGCGTGGGGTGAAGTCAGACCATTGGTTATTCCAGCTATTGATTGTTATTCCAACTATTCTCTCACCAGGTCCAAGAAGTTCTCCTCCAGAATGAGATCCATCTCCTGCAGCAGGAAGTTGAAGTACTGGAAGTGCTGCAGCCCAGGGTTCTGGTTGATTTTCTCCAACGCCACTTCCAGCACTGGGCGTGGGCTGGACGACGCACCGTCAGAGCTACCAGGCACCTGTGGCGGCCAGGCAGTGCAAATCCTATCGATTGCAGTTGTCGATGTGCGATGAATCACACTTTTTCCCACATTCCATGGCAACCACCTTTTGGGCCAACAGGCGCAAACACTGTGCACCACATACTGGGCACCAAGTCGTGAACCCACTGATGTATGGCCCAAATGGTCCAATTGGATAATCAAAACAATCAATTGACAGTTGCATAACAATTGATAGTTTGGCAATTGAAAAGTTCCATTCAAATCGATGACAGCGCTCCCAGGCCCCCAAGACACCTATGTGGTTGCATGGCTCGGTCCAGCGCTGATGACTAACAGGTCACTTACTCGGTTCACAGAGGGTCAACACATATCGACCCAAGATCCAATTGTTTGAGTTTGACATTTATGCGCCCTTTGCCCACCTGCTGCGGCCGCACAGAGTGCGCAAACACCACGGGGTGGTTGGAGGTCAGCAGTTGGTTGTCCATCTGGATGGCACGAACCACCAGACGCCCCGACTCGTTGTGTCCCACCCGGCGGTACTCCACGTCCACGGTGTCCAGGACCAGGTGCTAGGACATATATGTTCAACATCATTATTTGGAACAGAAACAGGTCTCAAAGCACTGTGACAACCGGCACAAAATTAGGATAATGATACACCATTGTTGTTCATTATGGCCATTCACACTAAAATACAGGATCTTGAGCAATTGACAACGATGTTTGAATGGAATAGAACTGTGAAAAAGGCTTACCATAACCAACTCTCGGCATTCTTATAATAGCGCGCTGCTCAAGGTTTTTGTCGAAGAACTCTATTTCTTGGGGTCTTCCCCAATGAGCATTGCCGAATGGCAATTTTTGTGCGGCATCGTGTCTGGCTGCTGGGGCAAAGCAGGGAGGCACCATGCTGGTGTGCATAGGGAACTGGCACAAAGATGTCCCTGTAGGTTGCGTCAGAGGTCGCGTCAAACACAGTGCTTGAAGGGAGCGGCGACGACCTGTGCTTTGATGTGCTTCTTGTACATGCATCAGCAATGCTGACTTGCACCTATATACATTATACTTCAAGTGCTGTTCTTTCACACTTCGAGCAAGCAATCAAGGTCGTTTTGGAGTTTCCAACTAACCGTCAGTCACAGCGTGCAGATTCTCAGAAACCATGCAATCAGCCACAGCAATGGACAACTGTATCTCGCTGGAAGATGGTGCTCAATTCACCCCACCATGAGTTCCCTGGGGAGTGTGATGTGCGATGCCTCCACCAAGGATATGCCAATGCCCTTGAGGGACAAGTTGACCAGAATGCCAACACCCGAGTCGCCTTCATCCGAATCCCCTGTGCCCCATTTCAGGCGCAACAGGATTTGGCCACCCACCCTGCTAAACTTCAGGTTGGGATGGCGTTGCAGTTCCATCCACGCGTAGTGTGGGTTGCCATCCTGACAAGCAGCAAGCCAAGTGTCAGGTTGAAACTTGTCGATTACCTAAGGCAGCAAATAACGAAGCGGTGCTGTTGTGCCTTCAAGCGGTGATTGGCATAAGCAACCACTAGAGTTGGTGCGATCGGTGGATGGGTTGTGGCAACGAAGATTGCCGTTTGAATACATGTGGCAAGCAATGCAGTGGAGCGGTCCATCCAAAGCAAGGGTTTGATAGAATCTCTTGCATGCTAAACAAGAGGATTATCACTACAATCAATGTGGTATAATTAGAGCCCTGCAACCAATTTGTTCGAAATTGCGTTAGTAATGCAGAATTCTTTGATTGAGGGATTAGATGTGCAGTGACTGGCCACTTGACCTGTTGCAGAAATTCAGCGGCACACTGTCTAACGACACAGCCACCTCAGAAGGAATGTGGCATGTTGCATGCGTTTCAGCAGTGCAAATTGTCTTTAACAAAGTTCCAATCCTTCCATCCAGCAGTCCAATAAGTTAACCATCATGATCCAAATACACAAATACATCAACAGTCCCACCAATGCACTCATCAACCCACCAATCAGCAAGCCGATCGATCAACCAACATAAACGGTCTCTCACCAGCTAAGATAGAGTTCCTTTGGATGCACCCGACTGCTCACCTTCAGATTCTGTACAGGAATAGACACCTGCCCAAGGAAATCGTCGGCTCCCACCCTCCTGCGGTCAAACACCTGCACCACAATGTTGGAGGACAGCCCCACATCGTCGAAGCTGAATTCCTGGTTCCACCGTGGATTAATGCGGTTCCTTTGAATCTTTGTGAGCTTTGAGAAGCTGCCCGCCTCTCTCTGGCATATCACCACAGCATACGCATCCTGCAAACGGAGATGTGGCGATTAAACTACGTCAAAAACTACTGCACAATTATTGGAAGATGGGTGGCTGAAAGGCAGTGTGAGGTGTTAAGGTGGAAGAATTCATCACTTGTGGGACTGTGCCTTGGAACATAAGGCACTGCAATGGGACACAAATCATCTGTCAAAGACAGATAAGAATCTGACACTTAGCTTACATGAACAGCAGCTGTCAATTTTCACCGTTGCAGTGACTAATACGGCCAAAATTCACACCACAGTATCACCACCAGCAATAATAAGGGCATCATGAATAATTGTCCAGCAACAACCACGCCTCACTTGTTGCTTCTTCCAATAGGGCACCCCAGCAGGGTTGCAAAAGCTGCCTGCCATTTGAGATTATTCCCAGCGTAAAGAAACTGCAAGCAGTCGAAACAAAGTTGCAAAAATACTTGGGAACCAAAATAGATTTCTCAAGTCCGATACCCACAGAAAAAATTACAAGCTCAACTTGTGTCTTGATGCAGAGGAAAAGCAGACGCATGTGTGCAGGCGCAAGTGCACATCTTGGAAAACGTAAGCAAGTTCTTGGGGCTCTCACCATGGTATAGAAGGACATGAGCCTGTCGTGCGGCAACACCAGGTTCTTGGCTTCCACCACCTTGACCTCGAGCAGGCCATTGGCTTTCAGGGTGGGCAGCGACACCTCACTCTGGCTGTCGCCTGCGACGTCACTCGCCAGAGAATCCCCCGCTCGCACATAGCGCTGAGTCAGCATGGCCAGCAACTCCTGCCTGTCCTTGAGGTCGTCCTCCAAGGCACGTACCTTGAGTGTGACACGGTCTAGGGGTGTGATGCGCCAGCCAATGGACAGGTAGATCTCGCCGCTGACCTGTCACATTGAGGCAGACGAGTTGGAAATGTGCTTCCGATTCATTGCAATGGGCATGATGTACAAAGGGCTGCATCATCAAAGTCGAAGATTTGTGCTCTTACAATCTCCGTTGTGGATGTGCCGATGCACATATCTATTGCCCCAAACCCGGTGCTTGAAGTGCTATGTTCAGTTGCAGTGCTCTGCCAGTTTACAGGCAGTTGTGCTTGACAACTGGAAATAGTGTATGCAACACAAGCAGTTCCTTCGGCTGCACAATAGACATCGGCAAGGAGACCAACGACAACATCAGGCGACTGCTGGACATCTGCAACTTTTACTGCCCTGCTGGTAGACAGGGAACTGGGAAAGGTGAGGGAGGTACCAAAAAGAGATGGAGGAGAGAATATAGCAAGACGACATAGGAAGAAAATGTGAAAGACTGGGTGCGCGGTGTGGGTCAGAGGCTGCTAAAAAACATTCTGCCATTATACGATCAACCCAGAACCGCACATACCCTTTCCCTGACATTCCTCCTGCCCAGCGTGTATGCCCGCACGTCACTGTCTCCAGCCTTCATTGTGTCCTCCACCTCCCTCAGTGGTATGACGACCTCCCCAAGAAATGTGTCCATGCCCAGCATGCTCTTGCCGTACAGCACGACCATCAGGTGGGCACTCACAGGCACAGACTTGAATGTCACCTCCTCATCCCATGTTGCCCTTCACAACCAAGGCAGCGTACCTCAGCATTCACTGGATAAAATTGGATAGGGTTGCATGCAGTTCATTAAAGGAAAAACTGAATTCATACATGTAGACCGTTGTAGCCTTTAATTGTCCATTGTTGTTGCCAAGGAAAGTTCTGTGGGCCGCAAAAGGAAGTCAATGCTGGTGCCACGATTGTGGGTGTTATCACTCCATTCAGTCAGTTTCTGTTTTCAACGTCACACATTGGTGGCAGCACTTGTGCAATTGCTAGGCTCCAAGCAGACAGTGACATTTGCAAGTTTATTTTGCATGAGACTGTTGGCATACTTGAACCCAATGGGCACTCGTGCAGTGCGCTTCTCGGTGCCCTCGCACTTCAGGGCGCAGAAGACTTCCATGTCAGATGCAAGGATGGACTTGAAGCCGGTGAAATTTCCCTGCCGCCGTATGAAGGTCCGTACACCCCTCTTCCTTGCCTTGGTTGGTATCATGTTGCATGCGAGGCCCTGATTCAAAAGCACATGAGGAGGGCCATCCAGCACATATCACATTCAAACATGGCAATGATATATGACTGCCTCAGTACATGAGTGCATGCACAGCAACTACCACTTTGGCTTCATTACCCCCTTGCTCAAACGGGTGTTAAGTACTCAAATCTTGGACGCAGCTCAGAACCAATTGTTTCATCATTGTGATTCATCATCCCAGCTGTACTTCCCAGAGGCTGTGGATTATCGGGGTTTTCGGGGGTTGAATGACATGGATAGAAATTGACGCCAATTACGTTGTACTTAACCGATTCATCTGAAATTTTGCATGCATACTCTATACTAATGTGCCTTGCTGTGAGCAACTTTTCAGGGAAAACGGAAGTCATCTTATGGTGGAAACACAGTGCTGGAAACAATTGGGTCATTTAATTTCGGACAGAGGAAGTATATTGTACTTTTGAAGTATTTTGTTTATGCACTCGTTTATTTATTCATTCAGTTACTTACTTGTTGGTTTTTGTTTTAGACATCAGGAACTTCGCTGGTTTCGTTGGGAAACTGTGTAGCTTTCATTGGCACGGTATTGACACTGAAATGGACAACAATGCTGTTGCCCAAACTGGCAAGCCTCGGCCCTGTCCCGGGCGGCATAGCCCCAGAACCTGATTCATCCAAGACATGTGTCTCTGTGTGCATGACATGTGTTTCTGTGCTGCCGGGACAGTGCTGGTGCTTTGTGTACTGTGAAGTAATGTCGCGATTTGGTCGTGTTCACCATATTCTGTTTCCCTTGCCATCTGTGCCAGCTTTTGGTTTGCAGGAATTATTCAGGTTTTGGATTGGCAGCCACCACACCCTGGCACTGGATCGAGTCCTGGTGAGCCTTATGTGTATGTATGCCTTAGGCACAAGGCAGTCACAACAACGTTTCAAACGTCCACAAAGTACCAACTGCCTGCATCCCCCGACTGCATGCTGGACTGCAAGATGGTCATACCCGCGGCATGTTCGCCTGAGGCCGCAACTGCATCAGCTCGAGAACTGGCCACGCCGATCTTCAAGTGGTGACACAGGTCCATGAACAGAATACACTCAAGCGATGGACAATCAGCTTTAACTGAGGGCCCATGAAGACACCAGCTGGCTGATCAATTGATAGATGACGGGAATTGCACTTTCGTTTCTGCGCCCCACCTTTGCGGCCACCACATGAACGACGAGCTCCCCGCCCAGGATTTCTTCCCCCATTTCGTCGATGTCTTTCATCATGGAGGTGGACACACCGTACAGCTCCGCAGTCAACTTCTGTCGTGCAAGCCTGGATGGGGAAAGGGCAGGAAGCAAGGGTACCAATCAATCCATTTCGTGGGCTTGCAATGCGCTGAGTTGTCGATGGGTGGCCCAGGAAACCGACGAAGATGTTCGCGGTGCACCTCCATTGGCGCAACAATCAACTGCGGCGGAACATTTCAATAGCTCCCACAGCGGCTAAGAACAGCAAGAACGGACATGCCAATGAACGACCACAGGCTCTGCGTTTCCACACCACATTCTGCCATCTTTTGCCACGTTTTACTATGCTGTGCTTAACTTCTTGGAGGGTACCAGTCCACCTGCACTAGGCCCACAGCGTCTCACTTCTGAAGGGGTTTGGGGGGGGAGTAGGGTTGAAAATGCTACAGTACTGGCAGTGTTGACGGCAAGTGAAAACACCAAAGCTTCACCCTACAGCCATTTTACTCAAAACGCCGATAGAAATCATGACACAACTGTGCTGCCCATACTCACTTCTTCCTTGCCACCTGCTCCAGGCACAGCTTGGGATCCATTTCTGGTGCATCCGACTGGGAGTTCAGGCTGGTGCTCCTTGCAAGGTTGGGCACCAGCACGCCACTCCTCCTCTGCCCAGCCGGGTCCAGCTTCTGGGATGAGGACGATGATGCGGACACGTCTGATGTGGGCCAGATAGCCGGCGTGAAGACAGGCTGCCAGAACAGAACACATGTTTTCCTCTAGTTGGGTTTGGTGCTCCCAGAACCCATGACTGCATGTTTGGTGTTTTCCTTTCGTTGTTGAGGCGATCTTTCTGGTCATTGCATACCCGAGAGAATGTGCTTTCAACCCTCTTCCAGGCAAGTCTACAGATGCCGCACGAATCCACCACTGCGGACAATAAAAACTGTGTTGTAACTCGACACGCACACTATCGTGCACAACCCCTGCCGCTCCGCCACAATGAAAGGAATGTCTGTCGCGAGCAAACCCTTGCCATGGACATGCACAGCACAAGAACTTTCTTCTGCCGCCATACTGCCACACTGCAGTTCACCAACCAGCATGCCGTTGTCAAGGACGAGGCAATCCAAAGACATCCCTGCCATTGCGCTTCGTGTTGTTGTAATTAGAACAGACCCAGGATTATTAACAGGCGAAAACATAAGGAAATGATGAAGCATTAGGAATTGCATTTAGGACCTTGATGAATGGACTGGATATAAGGGACAGAACTTCTGTTGTCCCCTTGTTCAGCTGTAGACTGTTGCCATGGACTCAGCCTATGGCCCCCCGTTCAGGATCGCCACCCCTCGACCCTGCCTGTCCTCATCAGCGTTACCTGAGCAGCATCACCCCCACTGCCGATGTCAATCTGCGTCGCCGATTGCACGATTCCCCTCTCATAGGGAGATGCAGTAATATTGGGCAGCTGCACAGGAACAACGTCACATGCCAAGCTGCTTGTGCAAGCCTCTGAGTCTCTGCACTTTATCTCTTCCCCATCGACACTGGCAGTCAGATCGACCACCGTTCGGCTGGAGTCGCCATTCACATCGAGCAATGGGGTGTCAGAGGGCCTGGACGCTTCGCTCAGCACCCTCATGGAAATCCCATCTGAACACAGCAGCACGGCAAGAATTGTCTGTATTTCGAATCCAAAATTGCCATCTATATGTCCAACTACATGTTTTCAATCTATGTTTCCAATCTGCAATTTCAATTTTCATTTCCAATCTGCATATAGTAGTGGAAAATAGCAAAATGGGGCCCTCTGAGCCTAAACCCTAGAACCAGCACTGCAATTAATGTGCGGCAGGCGCCCAGAGGACGCCCTCTTGTCACTTTAATTTGCTTCAAGCAAGCCTTTTGTCACCGAGGATCCCTCTTTGTCACGATATCCTGGAAAGGGCTCCCCTTTTGTCATGTTCTGTAAATTTGTCCTACATTTCCAATCTACATTTCTGATATTATATTGCAATGAAGTGCAGATGCATGGATTCGTGAATGTGACACTTTGGGGCCAGGACAAAGACCACAATCCTGTGGCATAAATGCACGCAATTTGATGCAATGCTGTCGATCCGTTGGGAAGGATGCGATCAATTAAAACATTGAGTGAACCATTGGACCAGTGCATTTTGAACACGATACCACTGATATTCAAATTACTTAATATCTGCCTTTCGTCTATGTGTCTCCACAAGAACGACATCGAATGCATGAACTCAGTTGCTAAATGAAACACTGGGCTGGATCGTTGTTTCCGTGCAAATTTCCATGCCACACGAATGTCCGGTACCCTTGATTTCCGGAAACGAAGGTCCTGAAGATCACCTATGGAACCTCCACACGGGATGATGACGCACAGGCTGGTCTGTTCTGCATATGATACTCGTGCTTGGAATCATGACAGCCGATATATCATCAGTGCGTGTCTGTGTATACTGCATGCGTTGTCCAATAGCCGTGTGTCTGTCAGTGTGTTCATCACCATGCCGGTGGGAAACTACCTGAAACAAGCTACAGAGATAAAACAATCCGTTTGGGTTCAAGGCAGAGATGCAAATTATCTCATGTCCACAAGTTTTAGCACTACACACACAGAACAGGGACCAAACACGTTGCCTTCAAGCCGAACTCGTCCATCGGGTGGAAATGCCTGCAATGGTTCACTCTTAAAGCCAACGCTGCATACCTTGAGGTTCACGGGTATTTTCTCGCCTGGCCTGCACCACACCAATGCAAAGCATGGGACAACGATCGACAAACACCCCCATTATTGGCTTCGAAACACAGCAGGCACAACAAAGCACGTAGCTGCTCTCACAGCGAAGCCAGCATAGACCTACATCCCTACTGCTGAGATGGGTGTGGCTTTCGGACTCTTGAATGTCTGGAAATATTTCGAAATCGAAAGCAACATTCCTAATGCAACAAGGTTGGGATTCAATCTCCGAGCAAGACCCAGTACTTAGTGGCACTTTGCAAAGCCAGCTCTTGTTGACAGAGGCGCACTGCACATTCAGAACAGGGAACACAACAGCCACCTGACACTGGCGATTCAGCACTGACTGGACACAGAGTGAGAATTCGCAAAATGAACAGCAAACACTGGCAGCGTTTCCTATACACTGTGCGCATTGTACCATGTGCAAGTGCATGATAGGCAACGTTATACAAACTAGCCCTGCCAACAAGTGGATTCTGCACACGTTTCATCAGCTTGCTTTCGATCAGGGATTACATCATCTTGGCAGTCATCATCCCGCAAAGTAGCTTCAACTGGCAGGGAAAAGCTGCTGGTTGGCAACCGCCCTAGTGGGCAGTGGAGGGCCGCATCCGTGAATGGACAAACTGCAAGCACATCACCTGCACCTCGCACGGCTCAGCAGCAAGTGGCAAAAAAAACGCATGGAACAAAAAGCGCCAGCATATGCGAATGGCAGCAGGTCTCCCTTCTTACGACCTATTGCACCTGGTTCAGCATCTGTCATATGAACATGACTGCTGCCATTGACTATGTCAGGCGCTGGAGTCACCTTTCCAAACATGCCCCAGACTCTGCTCATCTTTCCTTTCCCGCCGCCTTCCTGCACGAGGGGCCCAGGGGCCTGGGCGGCACCCTCCCTATCGATGCTCTCCAACACCATTTCGGATTCCATGCTGGCTCCAACTTCAGCCTCTGTCATCAGCACAATACGGCTCAGTTTCCAGAAATTTGAAGAGGCAACACATGGGGCCAAAGGCACTCTGCGGCGGTGAACAATAGTGCGCGAACACAGGGACACGTAGCAAGATGCTCACAAGAAGTACAATCGAAAAACAAGTTCGCTAATCAACTGCATTACATCATGCCGCTTTGGGCCCGCTACCTCTGATCAATGTCTAAAGGAAGACACTATTTGATTTTGGTACGCTTAACGTCAAATTGACGTTAAGCTCAGATCTTCCCCCTCCCCCTCCTTAGCGTCAATCCCTATGTCAATGCCAGGATGACTCAGCAACATTATCTAACAATGCCATACAACTTCAAGACAGTTTAAGGCAAAAAAAACAGCCAAATTGTAGCAATTGCGGTGATTTGAAAAATGGGAAGCCAAAAGCGTTGATGGGCGATGAGAGCAGCCCAAAAGCCTGAAAATTGATCCATTATAAGGATTCCCTGGATGATTGAAAGTTTGAGGGAGGTTTTACAGCAAGTTCTGAGCTATTTGCTGCTGATCAGTGGTGCTTTTGTGCATCTTCCCATCTTACTTGGATTTTAGTGTACAGTCTCTTAGCGTCACTGGCTCGATCCCCCCCCACACACCGACCCCCACCCACCACACCCCCCCAACCCCCACCCCTTAACGTCCTTAACATCAGTTTGATGTTAAGTGTACTAAAATCAATATAGTGTCTTCCGTAGCACTGCTGAAAAGCAATGTAGTGCATACATCAACGTTCTTCACAACTAGATGCTTCAATCAACTTCTTTCACCATTAATAGGGAAGCTGGTCAATTCTGCACTGTCTGAACACAGGGGGCTGTGTTCCAGCTTCTGAAAAATGCATGCAACAAAGTTATTTATCAGTACTGTAATGCTAAGCACTGAATCTTGCAGCCAATCTGCTGGACAGAAAATGCGTGAACAGGGCAATCCTGTGACTGTGGTGGGAGCAAGAGTCTTAGATATGTTCTGCAGGGAGGGGTGGGCAGTTGGATTCTTAAACATGCACTATATTTTGAAATAGAAAAGAGAAAAGTGTCGTGGATGCGAAGGGTGCCTGGCGTCGCTTAAGATGTGCCGAGGCAGTGCAGAGTTGCCTTGCACGAAAGGTGTGAATGGAACAATGCGTCTCCCTTGCTTTGGAGAGCATTGCTGAGAGCCGTCTGTGCATATTTGGCAATGTGCAAAATGATGGCAGGGAACCCGGCAAGCTACTCTTCATTGAACAAATCCCACTTTTCATATTCTTGCATTTATTTTCCATCCACTTGCCAAGTGCACTGATTCGATGCAACTATTCAGCAAGGGGTAGGGGGTGGAGCAGGTCTGTGAGTGTACTGTAGAATATTAAACCCTTCTGCATCAAGACAATTTTACAGTCATGCTTTTGGCTTGGCAACTTTTTTCAGAGCATTATCTTCGTTTTTTTTTCAAGTTGCTTTGCACACATTCTATTAAAGGAGCGCTATTTGTCATACTAGTTTCTCCAAAAAAAGGCCAAGCGTTTATACCACAGTAGGCTGGGAGGCGATTTCCAACAAAAGTCTGTACCGTCGATGGTTCTGCCAAGGATGCTCGCTTTCTTCTGCAGCCTTGGCACAGAGGGGTTCTCCAAATGCGCCTTCTCTTCAGAGTGTCGGAATGCGGGCTTGCCAAGCATCATGTCCACATCCACCCCTTGGAAATCAGCAAAGCTCTCCAGCTGCCTGCATGCACGCAGCCAGGATATCCACTAAACACATAAACGAGAATACACAATCCGCAAACCCCCTTCCGGTGGGAGCCAATAGAGCAATGCGACGATTTGAGTGAACCAATTCAACCAACTTGATTCCTGTAAACTCGGGAAACGAAGGTTCATGCCACTTTGAGGGTTGTTCCAGCCATGCGCCCCACCTGTTGACGTCGTCGATGAAACGCTTCATTCTCTCCATCTTTGCCTGCAGCACCACAAGCGTCTCCTCGCTGGTGCTGCGCGTGTACTGATCTGCCTGGTCGCTGAACCTCAGGATCCTGGTGGGGCCCTCTGCCAGCACGCACACATGGACGTAGACAACGTCCGAGTCGGGGGCATCCCCCGAGTGCCGGTTCTGGAGGAGGTTGCGCCCCATCTGTGCCATCCTGAACTTGATTCCGCGATGGATGACGATGGTGGGATGGGGCTGACATCATGGAAGCAAGGCTTTTGTTAGTGGCATTTGCACTGCAGGATATCGAACAGTGCGCGGCGTCGCCACCTTGATAGAAGGGCTTGCCTTGTCATGTTGTGACAAGTCTGTGGTTGACAGAACTGGACCAAGGTGTGCACTGACGACAAGGTGAATCCCCTCGTGGTTGCGGCGATAGGCAGGTAAAGAAAGCAAGTGCGTTTCTGTTTTCACTTTATCCTTGTCTTGTATTTGGATAGAGCCACCCATGTATTCCAACAACTCAGTTTTCCATACATGTGAACCTAGTGTTCAGGAGGTGACAATCAGCCAGGATACGCTGTATAAATGCACGCAAAGTTGATGTACTGGATTAAGAAAGTCCAACTTGCTATCCAGACATTGCTTGGAGTCACAGTGCCACAACGGGTTGTTGTTCAAGTTGCCCAACAGGGACAAAGGCCGTGCCTTGCCATGTTTGTGTTGGACAGATATGATCAACTGGATATCGGGAAACAACACACCACATGCTTTCTAAACTTCAGACAACCCACCACCAGGTATTAAGCTTTGGAATGCCATACAACATGATACGTCCTAACCTTCAATCAACAGCTCATTATGCTGTATCTGTTATCAGCAGTGGTGGCAGGCAGGCGTTTTGCAACCCGCATCACAAAACACCCATTTATGCATGCATGCCTTCACTTTGACACTTGGGGAAACAGGAATCAGGGCATTGGGCCATCCTTGCCGCAGACGCCTGGCCGCTGCATGGGCTCACCCTGATATTGTCCAGGTTGTATTCGTGAATGTTGGGTTCCCTGACGTTAAGGGCATCCGAATCGACTGTGACCCTCATTTTGTGCGCCAGGGAAGGCTCGTCCCATGCATAGTCGACACACCTCATGGGCCTGAGCGTCTCCCATTCTCTGAACACATCCCTCTGCTGGAACTTGATGGTAACAGCAGCACATCTGCAAAAAAGAAACAAGGGAAAACTGAGGTATTGCTGGTCACAAAACAGTTCAAAAGCGACTGGTGGCTTTCAAACATTGGCTGTCAGCACTGCCTGGCTCCAAATTTTCATTTCATGGGTGCTTCATAGTTTCAGAGCGCTGGGCAAGCTGCACATTTGCAGGCAAGGGTGTAGAAACGGGATGTTGAAAACAGCATATTCCAGTAGCTTAATCGGAAAACAAAATGTACAATCAATATTAATCACAACTGATATGCACAGCAACAGCCTGAAAAAACTGCAAGGCATATATGTAAAACTATACAAAATATGAACATTTCAGTTGGATACTGGACAATTGCACCATATTCACCCATCACTGGTGAACACGATGATAACTATTTGACTCAGTAGTGAACTGCATTTTGAACTCACTGTGTTCAATTGCTTATGGGAACAATCTCTTTAGTACATTTAGCAACGATCAACATTAACATGTTGACTCAAATTTTGGCCACGTTTCAACTGTCTAAAAAATGGCGATGATGAGTCTTCAGAGGATACACCTTAAGGCCAATTTTCCTGCGTACATTTTTACCGATGAGCGCAGACATTCCAATTAACATGAGGCACTAAAGAAACAATGCAAAATTGGAAAACCACCCAAGGACAATCATGCAGGCACCCATTAGCCCATGCATTGTTGGGGCCAAGTGCAGCAGTTCAGAATCACTACGTCGGGAGTGAGAGCTTCCCCTAAATTGCACTCTTCACGAATTCAACTTGAAAATCAATACAGTCAAAGTAAGGGGAACGCGAACCCTACAGCTCACCACCATCCCATCAACACAACGAACATAAAATTTTTTGACTGAGTATGCACTGTGCCAATAACAAAACTGGCAACCAAATGTCAACGTAGCAGCACATCGCATTGAACAACCCACCCACCTGTTCTCGATCCTGTATGGCGGCACATCCTGCTGCCTGCTGATGTTGCACACCAGAGACTCCCCCCTTAGGGATATGTCCACAGGCAGGATCAGGAACTCCCTGGTCGACTTCCTACGGATGCGCAGCCCAAAGTCGTTCACCTCATCCAGCCTGAAGCTCCCAGACCAGTGGCAGTCGTTGGCTGGCCGCACACACAGCTCGTGGGGCGCGTTGGAGTCGTACCTGTGGGCGGCCAGTGGCAAATGGGATCAGGCACGTCATTGGCAGACGCCATATGTGCTTTTGAACACTGCTGAACGTCACCCCACAGGCGAAGGGCAGTGCTCTCCGGCGTTTTGATACATTGAAGCCGAAGCCTTTGCAACTTTCCACAACGTTTGAATAATTATGAGCCTTGTGAAAGGCGCCGCTTGTGCTCATCAACAACAACTGTTCATTGCCACAAAGGGCCTAACTAACAACAATTTCGCAGTTAACACACTACTAAGCCAGTGGATTCGCAACCCAAACAGCAACATTTTTACCCAGTGTCCGCAAAATACAGACTGCCTCGTCATTTACCCAATATGGGTGCCTGCAAGCGCTAGCTCAGGAATTGCTAATTAGTGGTTTGGCACAGCAACTATCTGTCCCAAAAAGGTGTTCACAGAATGTGACAAGACTACCACTCAAATCCCACCAATTTGGCAAAAGCAGCTACGAGATGATTCTGCCCTCTTTTCCCAAGCAAAGGACAGCTCTGCTTCTCTTGAGATACACACGGGAGCCTGTCGTGCCAAATGCGGTTGCTGGATATGCTTGGATAGAGATGACGCCTTTCCTTGAGAATTTGCGTTGCGTCGCATACCTGTTTCTGACTCTTGAAAATCAAGCCGGGGCATTTATGATGAGTGCCCTCCAAAACTGCAAAAGACAGATCTGTGTAATCTGTCATAGGTATGCCCAGTGCCTGTTGCAATTCTTGGAGGGAACTCCTGTTCAGCGACAATATGTCTGGAGTGCGCACAATACACTATATGAATATCGACAAGGGTCGACCATCATCTGACCGACATACTCAGGGTTCAGTTTCTCTCGTTGGCCTGAATCTGTGCGGACCACGATCTTTACCACCCCGTAGTTCCAGGATGACTGCCGTCATGTTGAGCGTTATGGCAAATGCAACTCTGCCCCTTCGGCCACATGGGGTCCGCAGAAAGCAGCCCAATTATGGGTTGCCATTTGCGAGGCTGGTGACAGCATGAGAATTACCACTATCTGTTCCTGAGCATTGCCAACTAGAGCTAACGCCAATTCTGTTGCACACATCTGCTGTCTGCGATTCCTGGAGGGCGATCACGGTAGAGGCCCTTGTCCCGTAGCTACGTTGTCAATAGATAAACATGTGGAACGAATGTGGCTCCCAGACAGTAGGCGACATCAATTTCCGGACAAGGTGAACAACTAGCTGCAACGCAATAACAAAAGTATTCGCTACGCTCTGTCGCTTCACAATGGCAAATGCAATGCATGATGGGAAATTTCGAAAGGTGCATTTCGACAACGAATTTGCTCGTCTGCCTACCAGTGGTGTGATGCAGACTGGCCGTTCTCAAAGCTGTACACCATGCACGTCGTCTTCTGGCCGTACTCCAGGGTTTGGCCCGACGTGTTGATAAGAATGAAGCGGGGCGTGAGGGTAATGATCTTTGTGTGGTGAAAGAGAGAGGGCGGGATTCCCACGGCAACGTTGAACTCGTACAGGGAGTTCCTGGGCGGCTCCTTGGACAAGCGCGGCATCTTTTCTTCCTGCAAATGGGCAATCCAGCGAGAAGCCATCGCCCAAAGCCATGCGACTGTCATAGGCGCGATGCACTTGGACACCACTGAGCCAATTACATTGTGAAATGCAGCGGCAGTGCCACATTCGATGTTAGAGCATCTTGCAATGCCAATTCTGGTTTATACCCAATAGCTCACAATTCCACAACACCCAAGCTCGACGCAATTGCCAGTGCAGCTGCAAATCGAACAGCAGTTCGGCTTTGAATCTCTGTTGGTGGTGGCAGAGCAGCAATGCGAGTTTGACTTATTATTGCTGCTGCAGACAACCATGGCCTGATCATTGCAGTGCAAACAGGCAAATGGTCACTTGCTAGTCAACGACCAGTCAGTTTTGCCCATGGCCACTCACATACTTATTAGTCAATCAATCAATAAAGATTCCTTAAATCTGACGCTCCAGCAACCAAGGTCACGGCGCCACATACTAGTCAGTGGTCAGTCCTACAACAAGTGACAGACACTTGGATTCAACACTGACATCTCACAGCACTGGTCAGCTAGCAACACATTTATTTTGCCGTGAGTGTCCAGGAGCCCTCCATTGGCATCCACAGCAATACATGCAAGACTGTGAAGTTGTCAAACTGCATGTGACACTTGAATGGGCAGTAGGCAAGCAAGCCTGCAAATTTGCCATGCCTACACGATGTCAGAGGCAAAGCAGAGAGCTGATCTGCACGTCGCCTGACAATGGATGCATGATATCTGTGCTACATGTGGCACATGGGCTACCTGAGCGAAATGTGCCACATCAGCTAGTTCACACGATACTTCAACCGCATATAAACAACTAATGTGAACACTCGCCCAATTCTCTGAGTACCTCTTCTGCAGACCACCAGCCTTCTGCTTCACTCTCTGCGCCGCTTTCAGCACCGCTCTCCAGCACCCGGGATGGCTGACCCTGTCCTGACTTTGGGGAGCGTGGGGGTGTGGAACGGGGTGATGTCCGCTGCATCGCTGTCAAGAGTTTCCACTCAGCTGATGCATGAACCCGCCTTGACCTTGCGGCAATGTCGGATACGGCCATTGCCATTATGTTACGACTGGAAAAGGACCTCTTGGAGCTGTGGCCATGTGGCATGATGGGCTCAATGTCGGCATCTGGGCTTGTGTCGTCAAGGCCGTCGCTGGCAGTGGAGGCCGTCCTGCACGGCCGTGGAGGGCCCAGAACTTGAATGCAGCCCTGGATCAGGCCAAAACAAAACTTTGTGATCGGATGTTAGACTACAGTCATGATCTTAACTTGGTCAGGTCCTTTTGCTTGTGGTGCATTGTATAAATTAATCAAGGTGGTTCAGTTGTGCATTACTAAAAGGCAATTGTTTATTGTAGCCTCAGGGAACTTGTCATACTCACATCCCCCCCCCCCTCCCCCCCCCTTCTCCTATCCATCCAAATGCCAAACTGAGTGGATATTTTTTACCCAGCAAATGTGAGAGACAATGGTGAGCAAAGCCAATTGAATTCCTGCACCCATGCCCCCTGACAAATTTTGAGAATTTGACGTATTCTGTCAGCCACTATGTATTGCACCAGAATTTTGGCTCTGCACACCAAACTGCAGCATGTACCAAGCATCTTTACCCTTTCGCCTGGCATTTGCCACAAGCAATGGATCCACACGACAAGACAAAGCCAAAACAAGTGCAGCTGGTGATGTGCAGAGTGCATCGCTGCTAGTCACCTCAACCTTGCAGCTCGATGCTCAACATACAACAACACTTGTGATGCAGTCACAAAAACGAGCTCTCACCATCATTCCCACGGAGTCGAGATTCACCGGCTTTGACCAGACTGCGACAGTGATTCCCACGCACATGGCTCCCCTCTTCGAATTGAACAACACAGGCACATCTGTTTGCGCCTCCTGTCCCGACTCTTCTGCTGATGCCTCCCCAGACTGGCGGACAGGTGCCGCAATGATGGGTGTGCACACAGGCGGGTACGCCTGCGTCTTTGCATCCCTCAACTCCAGTGGCATGCCTGTCTTGTTCACGATCCAGTACCTGCTGAAAACCGTCACGCATCGTGCACCGCTCTCGCCCATCACCTTGTGGTGGAGCCTCACGCGCAGGCTGGTCCCCCTCAGCCTGTGGCCCCCAGGGAGAGGCCCATCGGCCGTCTGAGCAAGTTCTAGGTCCTTGGACGGCACAGTTGATGAGATGAGCTGGCTGTGGATGGGCCCCAGGCCCCGGACAGGCACCGGCATGATTATTGCTGGGGATTGGCTGGCTAGGGAGGTCCCCATCCCCACATGGAGCTTCAACGTGTGGGAATGGTCGAAGTCGTACACCGGGACGGCCTCGCTGGGCTCGATGGCCAGCTTCTGGTCATGCTCGATGGCCACAGAGTCCAGGACGGTGGCCTCGATGCGGACTGGCAACGTGTTGTGGATGGTGAGGGGCGGGTGAAAGTTGAGGACGTGCTCATGGACCTCCATGACCCTGCAGGCGTCGTTCCTCAGGTCGTTGGACAGCTTTTTGACTGGGACATTGCACAGCTCCATGCAGCAGTGGAAGCTGTGCCCGCCGCCCCTGCACAAGCCATACACGTGATTGAACACAAACGTCCATTATGGCAAGCAGAAACGGTAGAAACTGGCAAAAGAGCCAAAGCCAGGGACTGTGAGCAAAAGTTGTCAAGGCCACAAACTGATAGCAAAGCAATTTCAATGAATTATGGCCATGTTTATTTATCCCAGCCTTGTGTGCAGTATTGGACAGCCTCAAGTCCAAAATTCGCCATAAAAAACATATGGTGACCCTCAGAGCTTCTGCATTCGGTCAACACTAGCACCAAGACCCCACGCAGCCTGTCAGCAACGGCTCTTGAGGCCAACTTGCTTGAAAAATTTGTGCTAATACTAATACAGCATTACTGCTGCACAAAATTGTTTCGATACACTAGCATTGAAGTACAAACACAGCATCCTTCTGAGACATGAAATAGCGACATACTTTCAGGCACACTGGACCCAGAACAGACCACTAGGTACTGGGTTTTTGCACAGACCTTCCCCGCGGATGTTTCGTGGACAATCATAATGCATTGTTAAGCATGCCTAAGTCAGTTGAGTCTACCTGGATGGGCATGTATACAATCCTTGTTGCTGGTTAAGGTCCCCTTGGATTCGGATGACATCCTTCTCAGCCCGCTGGTAGCCTGCTGCCTTCAAGTACAGCAGCGCACCCATGCAAGCAGGAACGGGCAGATAGCAAAAGTCGCCTGGCTCAAGGTGACCAGTGCGAGGGATGCGGTAGCCAGCACCAAAGCAGCGTCTGAGGCCCGTGTGGCGATCCTGGTGTGCCATCAGGTTCATTCGAAATTCCAGGGGAATCGTTGTACGGTTTTCAATGCGGTATGGTGAATGCACCGTCAGAACCTGTGCATCACAAAGGAGGTGTCAACTTTTGAAAACAGATCGGCAAAGAGGCTGAACGACAGGCTGACTAAGCAGCAGCAATGTCCAACGACACATGATGTGGATATCATGATCATCAGTATTCAATGCACCATTAAATGAAGGGCCAGCGCACCGGACGTCAATCTCCATCCAAATTTTGGAGAGGGGTGGCACAAAGCATCAACTCACTTTCTGCATCCTGCTGCAAAATATGAGCAAAAGCAACTGACAAAACACGGGAGCTTTTCGTTTTACACAGCCGAAAACAAAGTACTACACACTGCACGTCACTCTAAACACAGTGGGCCATGCCCATTGCCGTGCAGCTCAAGGGCCCCATCTTTGATGCTGTCCGCTTCTGTGCTACCCACACCAACGCCCAACTGCTTTCTCCATCCGTTTGGTTGTCTCAATGGTTGACTGCCAACCACAACCCACCTTGGTGCGTTCTTGCAGACTGACATCCATGACGATGGGAAGGATCATACCGTCCATAGGCGACTTCAGGTCATAAACGTACTTGCCAACCTTGTCAACAATGATGTCAACTATTGGATCCCAATTTCCCTCAAATTGCATGGACATCGTCCTGGCACTGACCTGCACCACCGACAACATATCTGTGAATGGAAGGCAAGGCACTCCAACAAAATTATGAACATTGAAAGTAAGTCTCCAGCTAAGAAAACCGTAAGAAAACTATGGACATTGCAATGTGCTTCACTGTGTTGACATGCTGTCAATATGTTGCCTGTTTGAATTGCCTCAACAGCACCACAGTGTTCTTCTGTGCGGAAATGCCAAACATGGCCACATTGGCATACATACAGGCAGCATACAGGCAGCATACTTTACTTATTTAATCTATCAAAAATTGACTCAACACCCTTGATCAAGTTCCTTACGATTAACACCCTTTCGGGCAGCATAGATACAAGCCAAATTGCTGGGCACCAAGTCTTGTACCCAATCTCCCCAAAGGGCAGCTGTTCTGCACCCAGCAGCGTGCTTCTCTGTCCACCTTCCCATTCTTACCCACCAATTCCATAGGCACAATTCAGGTTGGGAAAAACTTTCTGAGTACCACAAAGCAATGTGCCAGCATTCCTGCACAGACGCTACTGGAATCAATGCACACAACACATGCCTGACAAAGCACCTGATGGGGAGACCTGTAATGGCGATCGACTTGCCTTTCACTTCAACACTATTACTTGGACCTAACACACGTACAATTATCAAATAACATTTTGTGTACTGCATGCAACTAGGAGCTTTGCGGTATGCTACCTGCTGATGGGCATCCAATCCTGGCAGCGAGACAACTTTCTCAACAGGGTCAGCAGCCAAGTCGACTTCCTCCTCGACCGACACAAAATTTGTTGTGCTGTTGTCCAAGGGCGCAGCAGCACCTGCTTGCTCGACCCAGTATGTCAGGCACATGCCAGACCTGTACAACAACAATTTCACTTGTCAATCGCAATTTGTTGAGTCATCGTTGACGAACAGATGGGATTTATGGCATTGAAGACAGTGCTGCCTTTGCTTTGCTTGCTGTCCCTGTGTGAACAGTCCTTAACACGGTATATAGGACTTTGTTTTGATCTAACTGTGAGCTGGGCCCTTTGCTGTATAACATCTTTGTGTACCATGCAACCGTCAGGCAGTGGCTGACTCAAGACAAGTACACAGACTCTTCCCGCGATGGTCGTACTATGCCTTCAACTAACAGCAAAGCGCTCTCCTAACAAAGTGGAGAAGGTAAAGGTGGGTGACTGCAGGCAGCAATGTGTACAATACAATGAACCGGATAGAGCAATCTTGCAGTAATTTTGTGACACAACATTGCATCACAGAGCGCATGCACCAAAACTTCCAGCGAATTACAATCGCACCATGAGAGCAACAAACTAACATCCAAGAGCCCCCACAGCATCCACGCACCTGTTCTTCAGTCTGTAGAGCTTCAGGGCAGCATTTGCACAGCTCTGAATTTCGTAAGACCCCATCAAGAGCGGCACAATGGAGTGTGACGGTGCATGCCTTGGGCCGTGTGCCAGCTTGGCAGTGCCCATGCCTTCGACAAATGCCACCAGATCACCCAGAGACCGAAGGCCAGATGGGCTGAGCAGTAAGTTGAGCCGAGACTTGGATGAGGTGGAGATGGCCCTGTGGGCACCAACATCTCGGTACTCGATGGTGAATGGCCAACTCTCCAGAAAGGCCTCCATGGAATCCAGGCCACTATTGAGGTAGTTCGCCTGCAGAATAATGTCACAGATGCCTGGGATACATTGAATCAGATGTGGGAGCAAGCAAGACCAACGCAGATGTGTACCATGGTTATAAAAAGGGGTGTTCTTAATGCAGAATGTGATGAGCATTACAACTTCATCATTTTTGTTGCTGTCATCAATACCAGCAGCAGTGACAAGGGTAGTGGTATTACATTGTGCACAAAACCTACTGTGCATGTTGGCCAGTGCATGAATGCGACACAGATCCATACGTCTGCTGAAAATTCATACATGGAGGAAATTGAACATTAAAGCATTCAGGCTTTGATTTAAATATTATGCACTTTGCCAGTGCCAAGCAAAACAGTCCTTTCCCGATTCTGGTAGTCCAAAGTATGCCCTAGGACGACAGCATTGACATCTTGGCATATAACCCTTCACACACCAGTCACTCCATGCTGAATGGTCACCATTGGTGAGTTCACCCACTGCAGCTGGCAAAAGGGGAAAGATGATAGTCTTCACGTGTCTCACATCCATCCCAAACATACATTGCACATGAAACAATAGCCTGGGACATCTACATCTGAATGGCATGTTCCCTTTGTGGTGAAAGACTTGCACATGGCCTGTCAACTGTGAGCCAACCAAGGTAGCGCCGCTAGCAGTTGAGCTTCCTACCTCAAGCAAGGATGTGAGACTTGCTATGGACACAACAGGCTGATCCTCCCTGAGTTGCTCCCAGCCAATGCTGCCATGCACACGATTGAGACCAAGCTCCAGAACCACAATGGGGTGCCCACGTCGGTCGTCATCCAGCCGGAACTGAATGCAATCCACATCGACCTGCACCTTGCTGATGGTTGCACGGAATTCGGGCTCAACTGTGTCCTCCTCAATGGTGTCCGGCGCGGACATTACCTTGATCCGCAGCAAATCAGCATCAGGACATTGATAGCAAAGAGCTCTAATAACCTCCCAAGAACAATAGCATCACGAAAAGAAAGACCACAGCTGGCTGGTCAAGCAGATGTCGACAAGACTGTGAGCATGGATACAAGCTGCACACCATGAATCAGATGCATTGGACCTTATCTGAACAGCTGCCAAAGACATTGTAAGCGCCGCTTTCAGAAGTGCCAGGATTTCCCATCGCACCGTATCGCATGGAATTACCCACCGCCTGCGACAATGCACAGCTCACCTCCATACTTGTCATGCTTTGTCGCAGCAGACTAATTAGGGATTGAAAAAGCGGAATCTGCTTAAATCCAGAAACTGCCGCGATTTTGCTCCCCCAAACTGTGAGAATCATTGATCTCCTCTGTTGGCTTGACTTTGGGTTGTGCCAATTTACGTCCAAAAATGTGCTGAAGGGCATGACAACGGTTCGATCTGTTTCTGCGCCAGACCCTGCAACGCTGCCCTGGAGCCCTTGCGAGTCCACACGCACTGTGGTTTCCTGGTCACCACCCCAATAGTAGCCCACTCGAAGGCTGTCCCACGACAGTTTGAGGCCCTGCCCACCTGTTTACGCCAACCACTGAAACTGTGACAACCACTGCAACAACCACTGTGACTGGCCTTGTCCAATGCAGCGATGTCAGTGCCAACTGGGTCAGAGCAAACAGCAACAGCAAAGCAAAGAAACACAAGTGTTGCAGCAATGCAATAGTGAATGTAATGACTATTGAATACCTTGCAGCAGTATGGGGTATTTCCTGCTTTGGGGCAAAGTGGCATAATGCCAGAATGGAGGCGACAAATGCTCAGTTAAATGAGTTTGAAGCCCATGAAGTACCAAGTACAAAGTCTCATACCTACTTTGCCCTCAAGGGCGTCCATTCTTTTCCAACATTTCGTGTTATGCACACAACATACTCTTGAAGCCGCCTATGTGGAAAATGAGACTGTCGACTGAGCATGATTAGGGAAATCTGGATTTGTGCATCACAATCAATCGTTTGGACTATGGTCAAGAGGAGGATTTGCTAGGGTTTTCCCACTTGTGTCCACTTGCAAAGAGCAGCGCAGCCATGCCTGAAATGCTCACAAACAAGCTGGGGGGCAGCATAGTTGCGCCCAACACAAATCAAAGGAAGGACCACAACCATGGGGGATGCAAAATGCAGAATTCGAAGAAAAGATTGCACTTGGAGCCAAATCGAAAATCAAGTATGTGCACCACCACGTAGAGTTCAACGTGCCTGGACAGACATTTTCCATAGCACATATAAATGCATGGGCCGTTAAGAAGGGCAAAAGTAGCAGCACCTTGGCGAGATGCCAATGCCCTGGGTCTCCTCCACTCTGGCCCCACAGGGACAAAGACTTCTGACTTGGAGAGCACCACATTGATGTAGAACCAATTGTCAGGGGCCATCTGAAGGGGATGCGGCGAACATGTTGGAGCCCAGAAGTAACCGCTGTAAATGTTGGATATGTCCATCAGCCACGACATGTCCATCACGTACGGCCAGCACAAGTGAGCCTTCAACAACAACAGGTCCATGACATGAGGACCACATTCCTGGAGTGGCGGGACAGTCTGAATAACATAGTCCAATAAGAAGCCCCCATCGCCGTGCTCCGAGAAGAAATGATCGAATGTGTCCGGCATCTGGGGTGTTCCAGGCCTGGGTGACTTGCAGGCATTTGCAGAAGTCGGCTGTGGGGCATTGGAGGGGCCTGGGGACTGTCTCTCATCGTATGGCGATCGGTAGTGCATGCTCTCTCGCATGTCCAGCAGCCTGTGCCACAGATCAACAGCAACGTGTGTCATACAGGCAGCGAAAGCAAGTTCCTGGGAATTTCGCAGATGCCTATGTCGCAAAACTCTGAGAACACTGATGCATTTTACAATGGGGGCTTCTTTGACACCTGGAAATGCTGGCAGGCTCAAGCACCGGTTTGGCAAGCGATGTGGCGATATAGACTCATAATTGGGCACAAAGAAGCATCTCATATCCAAGCTGCAAGAATGAGCACACAATGCAGCACAAAAGACTCAATAGGCAGCAACCAGGGGCTACTGGTGCTGCTGGGCTTGGGCAAGAGTACCCAGACAACTTACTGGGCTGACATTGGGAGATGAGCGACATGCAGCAGCTGGCTACACAACAAAAGTGGGCATTAAGATCCTGGATAAGTTTGTTCCCAATGCAGATTGCGAATTAGCACAGGGAATGTAGCTGTACAGCAAGCCACTGTCCCAACATCTGCCTGGCAACGTCTTGCACTATCCACATGCACTTATTGCCATCCAATTTCTTTCCCAACCCCAACAAAGGCCCTAACCAGCACTGCCACAGTCACTAATGCACAACCGAAGTGTAACCATTGCGTGTATCGAATACATACCTGCCCCTAGGTGCAGATGCCCATGGGAACTGCCTTATAGTGGCATTATCACCTCGCCTGGTCAGTGGTGGATCCACATTGAGGACTACAACCCCAGTTCTCACCTGGACAACGAAGTTGAAGCTTCAATAATGGGTCAGTGCAGGCCATGTTGAGGACAGCAAACCCCACAAGGCTGTCAAAACTGCAAGGCATCCTGTCACCCTGGGGCATGGGTAGCATCAACACAGCATAATGCAGCAATGGTTTGCTTGTGATACCATGACAGCACATCAGTGTGCCCTGGCATTCCATTTCTGAGCAGCAAAGCCATTGGCACAAGAACAAAGAGTCCATCTAGGGGCCAAATCGCCTTGAAGGAGCCATTTTTGACAGAACCTGGCAACCGTATGTAATCAAAGACAAAAGCAGCACCTGAAGTACAAATCCTGTACCGCCAGGTTTGGCACCAGCAAGCAGTGCAAGTTTCGCTGAATGCAACATCAATGTCCCCAATCCAACCGCACCCACACCCACAAGAGGGAACAGGGTTCCATTTCGGCAAGTTGGACGTGGACATTTTGAGATGTCATTGCATGTGCTGGTGACAAGACATTCAGTTGTTTAGTCTAATTCACTGCAATGAAGAACAACAGCCAACATACACAGCTCAAAATTCTCACCTGTGATGGTCGTATGTCTTCAATCCTGATGCCCATAGCCATGACCCTAATCCTCATTGACCCACAAGAGAACTGCTCAATGCACACACCCGCATCTTGCAGAAGTGCCTGGGCCACTTTCACACCCACTGGGCGGTCTCCAAAGCCAGACACGAAAGCGCTGGGCAGCTCATCATCAGGTGAAGACTCCTTTTCTGCCAAAACGGAGAACTGTGCAAAGTGGATATCCAACTCCCATTCCAACGTTGAACAGACGCTTATCCCAAGCGTCTCGGGCGGGGGGGGCGCCGGTGGCAGATGCTCTCCAGGTAGCACAATGTGGGGTGGTGGCGGTTCAAAGCTATTTGACTCGTTGGCATTTTCGTACAGCACTGCCATTAGAAGGTTGAACTGCAAATCGCCAAAGACAGCACGAACCCGGGGCCACCAAACCTGCATTTGAAGAGAAAAATGGTAACAGTGCAGGAAGTTGCCAGCTGCGAAAACTGACAATCTAACCTCACCCGTTGGATCGTCCTATTCAACATCACATTGACGCCTTCACAAGTTCGCACGAAATTGCTTTGAATCTCAACTTCTTTGAGTGACAGATGAAAGTAGGAAACACCAGGCACAGGCATCAACTGAGCACTGTTTGTATGCGGACCTCCTTGCTGTGACCTTTGGACCATGGCAAGAAATGGGCACTCCACCAAGGAACATGGTTTGAAATGCAAACCATTCAAGTACCTTGAAACAAAGTAGGCCATCGGCGCATGTGGATCGATGCAAGACAGCCGTGCTAATTGATGAGCTGTTAATAGGCTTGCTCGTGTGCTGGAGTTCAAAATGCGGAAAGAACAGCACAATATGTTCACTGTGAGCACATGTTGACAGGCAGTTCGTCATAGCGTGTGTTCTGGCTTCGCCCAATACCTTGATCATCATTTTCGGGGACAACAGGACTCTTCCAACCAAATTGGCTCCATCCACAACATGGCGCCAGGTGAAGCCTCCTTGCTTCATTTCTTCCGCCCAATATCCCTCAAGACCCTCTATTGCAATGCCAACAACTGGGCTCTCATCCAGCCCTGAGTGCAACAAAACAAAATAACTAAGAGACCAAGGAAATAAGATCTTTCCGAAGGCGAAACTGTGCAGAACTGCTGTTGTAGCATAGCAATTGTTCTACATTGGATTAACACTGCAAATGGCAGAGATCCCCATTATGAAGTGTCCCAAAGCAAATGTCCCCTATGATATATAACTATTCTTGTGTTGCGATGTGCTCACATGTTCATCAAAATTCTTGCACATCTGCAATTGTGAGTACTGTGGATGGTGTCAAATGTCAGATTCAAACTTGAAGTAACCAACATTTCAAAGTTGTTTGATTAGCCACAGCTCTGTTCAACAACCGACCAGATTCATAGGTCTCCCTTAACCACCCAAATCGCTGTGGCGAAGGGAGTCTCTTCCAATGCATGTGCCAGGGCACCGCATTGAAAACACTTCTTCTGAGGCAGAAGTTGGCAACAGGGGGTAGAAGAATCCAACTCACCATAACAATTTGGGTGGTTTTGGGATACCTGTGAAATCTGACTTTTCTGTGAATAAAGTCATGTAGACTCAAAGCACTGTAAAATTCTGATTACTTCGAATTTGAACTTGATTTTGGACACATTTGTCCACACTCACAATTGCGATTGTGCAAGAACTTTGCTGAACATCTGACCAAATCGCAACACAAAAAGAGGGTGCCAGACCACAGGGGACATTTGTTGTGGGACGAAGGAAGCATACTAATGTTGTAACCACTTTCAGGTGTTAGCAGACATTTCACTACTGACAGACTATGAGACTTGGAAATCACATGAGTCACATACTGGACAATCTGCACGCACCCCATGCCTGACATCGCCTCCAACATGCAAGGGCTGTGTTTCATCACTTGTAAACAAATAAAATCAATGGATTCAACACATTTGAAACAAAAGTTGACAGTGTCAATCTGCAAGCAGAGTTACTGTGGCAGTGCCAATCAACACTGAATCAACCCAATGCTTTGCAACTCCAGTGGTGGGCACACTTTTATCATTTAGAGAAGAAAGAGCAATAAGCAACAAGGTCCTCAATCTACAGTTCGGTCTCCATGTCGAATGCAATGACATAACCTTTCAACATTCTGCAATCGAGCCTCCACAGCCTCATGGTGTACACACAAATGAAAACTAATCATACTTCAACAGACTAAACAAATACACCAAGAGTACCACAATACTTAAGCCCCAACACAGCCTTTCGAACTGAAGAAATGCACCCTAGATAGAACCAAAGTAGCATACTCTGGCACATGGGGATCGACGGGCATACAATGAGCATTACAAGGCAATGGGCATCATGTTCCAAAATTTGCTCTACATGCTGATCTTCTCACCTTGGCAGCAATTGTGGCTAAATTGGGCATAGAATTCTTCATCCATCTCTGCAAAGTCTGCCAATCTACAATCGGAATTACTGCATGTGAAGAAAGGCCCGCAGCACGTCAATTGTTGGTGAGCAACCCTCACGCTCATATTGGACCAAGTTGCTGCATCAAGGTGGCCCTCGCCTTTTGAGGAACACATTGCAGAGTTGATGCCAAACTTGGCTCTCATCATTGCAACCTTTTCCTCAGACGATGGGAAGACAACAATTGCCTGAGTGACACATGGCAAACATATAAGAGCGCTCACAGAAATGGCTACCAGACATTCACTGTAATTGTGACCCCTTGTTGTGCAAAGCATGCAAAGACATGCATACCACGTGACTGAGCATGCGCAATAGCCAATAGGACAACTGTCTGACAAGTGGCCCAGTGAACAATTTTCTCTCACAACAGAGATCGCCTCAATTTATCAAAAATCAACACCTCTCTCCCATCTCCCAAAGAAAACACATGCAGCTTGTTCAAACTTGATTACCCATCATTTTGGACGACGCACTTTTTTTTTCGGCAGCATCTTCCCTGGCATGGATTATGAGTACATGAGGAAAGTGACTTGTGACAGAACGGACCTTATTTCCACAGATGCTGTAGAACTCTGTGGACCAGGAGCACCGTGGAATTTCGAGCCTGAAGTTTAGGAGTTCGACCTCCATCAGCAAGCAACCCTCACTGCACGGCGGCTGGACACTTGGCGTGGTGGGGGCTACACTTGTCCATCCAGGTGAATGCGCAGTTGCCTCGAGCCTCTTCACTAGATGCATGATGTCCTTGAGAAATCGGACAACTAGGCTGATGTGGATATCAGATATCTTCACACGCACAAAGGTATCAAGGGGACACTCCTTGTGAGCCTACGAAGCGGTGCAAACATTTGTCAGAAATAGTTCAATTTGTGAGGTATCTCCCCAAAAGTGTGTGTTACCAACAGTTCTCTACAAATTTCCAAGTCAAAGTCTTGCGGTTCCCTTAACATCGTTCGCAGGGCCTCCGAGACAAGAATTCAAAGCAACAAGGAGATTTAATTCTGGAGTTGGAACAACATTAGATCTCTGCAATGGACAGATGACATGCATGAGGCAGCACAAAGGCTGGGTGGAAACTCCTGCAGTCCAATTTTCGCACATGTCCAAAAAAATGAGCACATGTCCAAAAAAAGGAGCACATGTCCAAAAATAAGGAGCAGAATCGATTGCAAAGACGACGTCACCAGCACAGATGTGTTTGCAATGCCTCTACTTCACTGCTGCAACACAAGAACTGCTCATAAAAGATACAACTGATGTAATATGGCAACACCAGTATGCAGCAAAGGCACTATGCAGAAATGTCGAGATCCCATGCAATCAAAATGCAACCATTGATATTATCAAACATTGCAATGGTAGTGCACCGCATCTGCGGTGTTTTGCAGTCGGCACTGCTGGCTGCGAAAGTACAGTGTGTCTTCATGTGCGGCTTACCTCGATATCAGATTTGCAAATGCCATTGCCCCGTTTGTGTGAACCTGCTGTCCCACTGCTGGCCCTGGTCATCTCTCCAGAACTGCACGACAGGATTTTCCCTGCACACCAGCCGAACTTCAGGAAAAGAGGGTGGAGCAAGGGTGCAGACCCTGACTTACAAAGAAAGGCATTGAGACTTAGCATTACCAAGAAATGCAGAATGCAAATGGTGGGATAGGTGCCCGCAGCCTAAACTCACCGTGGAGGCATGGAGGCTCTTGAACAAGGACGACATGAACATGGCACTGACCCCCATCGTAGCTGCTGGTGTGCTTGATGTTGCTGTCCAAAATGTGCTTGTACCGTTCACAAGAGTGCAGCCGATCAATAACCTGTGTAGAGGATTGAAATGACAAAACTCAAAGCTGGCCTTCAAACCACACCATCTTCACATTGATTGAACGATTGCATTCCAAGAAGTAAATTAGCTCCTTGCCACATCCTGATGCGTCATAATGCCAGTTGCAATAATGCCTGCTGGAAGGAACTTGCAGCACCCAGGCAGCCAGGCAAAATGACCCTTTGCCACTTCAGTGTGAAACATACTGCATCAGCTTGGAGGCGCCGGCAAGAATTCCCCCAAAAGTTTGAACGCCTGGCTCACGCTGGTTGTGCTGTGCACCAGATGGGGCCAAAGGGTGCAATTCTAACATCGGTCGGCCTGGCATGTGCATTCCGCTGTCACTCACTTTCAGATCGCACACATCCAGTATCAGGCGTGTGCTCCTGGGTGAGATGCGCAACTCCAGCTCTCCCTCCACCCCCTCCGCAAACAAAACTGCCAAGGGCTGGTCATCCACACTGAAGGTAACCCGGATGCAGCCGAATTTGAAATCGCCTGACACGTTCTTACAGCTTGTGCCACGCTCTGGGGACTCGTCTGTAGCTGCAACGGTGTCTGTCGCCTGCAAGCTGCTGGTTCGTTGAGGCAGCATCCTGCCATCTGACTGTTCACTGGTGGCATCTGCGACCTGAGATTTTCCCCTCCTGTTTCAACACATGACAAGCGACCATTGGCCAAAAACAAGTTCGCATGGCAGCTCTAGACCATGTTTACATCACTTTATCAAAGAGTGGAACAACGGCAAAATGGTGGGGATAATAGATATGGCACCAATGCTGCTAAAGACACGAAATTATCCATGCTGGTGTCATACTAGGTGCATTTCAGTGTATTGTTTTGCCGTACCACAGTTTGGGAGAGAAACAATGCCAGGGACGACTGCTAAGCTCTGGAAACAAGCATGTATAAATGACTTGCTTCCTACAAACCACCCCTGCAAACAGCTACACTTGAAATTTCATTGGCAGTGAGGAAAATTTGACGAGCACAACGTGCTGATTCATCTGTTCAACACAATCCTGCTCCATTTCCGTCGCTCATTCTGCCTTAACAACCTTCAGCCATATGTTGAGGCTTTGGGTGTTCTCTACAGTACCTGTGGAAACTGGCTTTAAAGTAATGGCTAATTTACTGAATGCCAGTGCCCCTGTTGCTGCCATCTCTGTTCTACTGCAAATTGCAATCCTGTACAGTGCTGTTTCGCATCGTTAGCATTTTACCCCATTAACATGCTGGGTTGAGCCAAAGAGCCACTGTTTTCATTGGTAAACTTGTAGATTTTGACGTACTCATGTTATATTGACTGCAAAAACCTTCACCATAATCTTTCACTTGACACTCTACAGCAAGCTACAGCCCAACTTCCCTGATGCGAGCGCTTTATGTACATAATGAGGACAAGCGCACTGGCTGTGGGACACCTGGACACAATGCAAGCACACCTGTAGCATTGGCTACAGTCCACCCCACAAACCCTGTTGTTTTAAAATACGCTGGCAAACAAATGCTGACTCCAATTCGCACATTGTGTACAAGTCCGTGGCATCATGTGAGGTCAGCATAGACAACAACATCATGCAGCCAAACAGCATGGCATGCAAGCGCAAGTTGGGCACCTTCGGAAGCTGTTAACTGGTGAAGCATCACCCTTCTTGACCTTCGTTTTCTCCGTATGGCGACTGTCTTTCTCCACCTGCAACATCAAGGGCACAGTGGCAAGGGTGCAAAGAGTCATCTCAGCCATCACAGCAAGGGCCAACAGCCTTTGTGTACAGTGAAACTCTGCCAAAATTACAAGTCAGGGATGCAGGCAGCAAGCACCAGTAGGAATGCGATATCGTAGGCACATATGGCACCCATCTCCTATGTAGTTTGTAATGCATTGCACAGTTGGACAATGGATGGCACGTGTCCAACTAGATAAGCATGGTGCGTCTGTTCATTCTAACTCACCTTGTGAAGGGCATCCATATTGTCCTTGAGGAACCCTAAACACTGCTGCAGGACCTGGTTGTCCAGGCTCAGCACCAGAAAGCTGCTGACAATGGAAACCACGCTGTCCTCTTGCGTCTTTGTGATCTGGCCATAAATCTGTGCAGGTTGGGTCTCCAGACTACCATCAGCAATCCGGGCTTTCAGCTCGTTCTTTGCAAGTGCCCGCCAAGCGCGAAACACCCTTGTCTGCAGCATCCGCTCCTGTGACAACATGCGCACTGCAGCAGGGACTGGATGCAATAGGTTGAAGTGACCCATGCTGCCCTTCTTGGAGTTCAGCCCACACCTGTCTTTCCGAATGGCAGCCGACACACTGCCAAGGCTAAATGTTATGTTGGCAGTCGTTCGGTCCACTGATGACAGGACATCGATGTCGTTCAGCTGGAAGTAGCCAACCTGAGCAAACCTCTCAGTCACATCATCAGCCAGGTAGCTGCTTCGGGCAAGGGAGATTCTGGCATCTGGAATGACTTGATGGAAACGCCACGACAGGCTGACTGATACTTGCGGCTTCCTGGATTTCTGTTGCATGGACATGCACAAAGGATTTCAAGGAATGCAACACAGCATGGGCCAATGGCAAGCGATCCTTTGAGCAGTGAAGCAAGCACCTCCGTTTGGCAATTAATTTCATTAATGTTCCCTTTATATGCCTTTGCATGATCGGCTCAATCAGTTAAGCTGACACTAGATATGGATTCCTCAAGTCGACTTACTGCAGATAATGATCCTCAATTCAATTGAAGATTCATTGGATTGGGACAGAGAAAGCACAATGGGCATGATAGAGTAGCTATGCCATGCACACAATAGGGCATGTGCCATATTACTATGATGGCATGATCGCAGGAAAGTTGCTTGTAGCTAAATACCCAGTGAGTGTACCATGCAGCAACACTATGCAGACTTTGTGCAGCTTCTAAAATTTATGGATTCCATAAACTGTGTAACCATGTGGCTCTCTATGACCAAGCACAACAAGAAATATTGGATCAAAAGTTAATAAGCAACTGTCAGACAACCATAAACCACATCGCTGTCAGCGAAGCCTATGACAATCAGCACATCTTGTGGCAATCGGTGATAGCACTAATGCACTGTTTGGGGTTCTGCATTCTTTTTCGTCTCCTTGATATGAAACTTTTTTCTGCACATTTTGCAAGCTGGCACATCTTCAATTCACTACAAGATCCCAGCTGCATTATAAGAACTGCACAATTTTTCAATTGTTTGAGCCTGTCGCTTTGAGAAGAAAACATGAGGCAAGGTCAGCATGGGCAAGTTTATTGCAATATACTTTCAGGAAGGCATTGTAGTGTTCTGAATATTGAATATACATTGCAGGGCAACGCAATGCCACACCTCAGTCGTGCTCGTTCTGTCTGGCACACTCCTTGGCTGCTCTTTCTGCAGACCTCCAAAGTCAATGCTGCTGACGTTCAGGCAATGCTTCATTGTTCGCTTCAGGCTTGCCAACAGGTGAAACAACTCACCACTGGCAAACGGTGATATGTATGCATGCAATGTTGTTGTCAAGAGGTGCACCTGGGGAGGAAACATTGCTCTACATAAAAACAAAGGAACATACTGATATAATTAGGGTGGCAGCGCACCAGACAAGGAATACAATTCACATTCCACCTTAAGACTCTGCCTGACAGCACGTTCCATCAACATTTTCATGACCTATAAATGCCTATTCTATGTGCTGTCATGCTGCCCACAGCAAACATGGAAGAACACCTACTTTCCTAGCAGGTGCTCCCAGCAACCGCAAAAACCATCTTTCTGGCTTTTTGAACCGCAGTTTCAGCCACTGCCATCATTGGCACCCCTGCTATTCCCAGACATATTGTGCGTGTGTTCCTTCACTATCCTCATGAAACAACACCAATGCAGCCATGCTTGGGATGACCCACCAAGCTTTGAAAGTGCCCATACTGTGTTGCAGATATCTTTGCATCAGTTTTCACTCAAGTGAGCAGACAATGGTCTTTTGACATGAAACAACCCACAATAGATTTTACTACTGACAACAGCAACACAACAATGGTTTCGCACAGGGACACACACTCTTGGGTTTGGAATATAATGGAATTTCAACAACAACACAAAAACTGACACAATCAACTTGAATCAGAGTCAAACCCTTGTCAGTTGTAAAATCTCCATAATTGGCCACATGCTAGAATAGTCTTCACCTCAACAACTTGTTGGTAGGTGTCTGTTGCTGTCATCTCCAGCCAGTGGTGCAATGTCGTGTGCAGCTTGACAGGTTCAAGAACGCACACTTGCTGTGAGGATATGCCACTACAGGCAGGGCCCAACTCAGCAAGGAAGGCACGGAGGGTGAACTGCACTGACACTTTCTCGAGCGTTGTTGCCCCAGGGGGGGTTTCCAAGTTCTGAATTGTGTTGCAGCGAATGAGGCTCCCAGCATGTTTTGCTACAGGAGAGGTGAAGGGGGAAGAATCTACGAAATAACACACATTAGGGAGATCAGGATCAGGATCAGGAGATCAGGATCACCTTGCGAAGGTGATCATTTGCATTGACTACAATCACCATTTCCATTGCATTCATGCTGTGCCGACAATAAATGGTTACCGAGTCAAGGAGTTGCCTTGACTGGTCAACAAAACTCTGGTTTGCTTGTTTTCAAAACTGTGGATTGGTGGTTCTTTGACAATCCACCACACAAAATTGGCAACACTTGAGAAAACTGCACAGTCAACAAGAACACGCTAACAAAAGTCACTATTAACAATAACAAGCCTGTGCAGTTTGCGTCATGTTGACAGCATAGCTACTGAGGGTCCACATCCAATGCTCTCCTATGAAGAATGCACAAAGATTGCAGCATGTATGCAGGTACCTGTGTCAACACATTACCCGAATTGAGTACCTAAATAAATTCTGTTACAGCCCATGTTGGAGCCACACTGAGTGCATCAGCTGTTGTCCTTGACACACAGACGTTCCTGATGAGTGGCTTGATCACCAAGGTGATTTGATTCCACACTCAGGGATATTCTATCTGCAGTTGCCTGAACTGGAAACGAATGCACAAATAGGAATAATAGGAGGTAGGAATAATGGATTGGATTTCACAGTAGGAAACTCCACAACAGGAGAAAGGATGATTCTCCATTACATGCGTGGCATTCATCCCAATGACAACACAAGTGTGCACAATGAGCATAGACAGAGGCGCATGTGCAAGGACTGTCAAGAAGGTCAGCATGACATTATCAGCCCAGCTTGGCACATTGAGGCCCTCAGCACTCACAGACATGGCTAAAATGTGACATTAAAAAAACACAGAACAATGAGGAAACTCTGCCAATGCATCATCACCTTCATTCTCAGCTGATATGCTCCATTCTGATCCATGGCTGGATCCAGCTGACCCATCTTGGCTGGCCTGAGGGTTTTGGCCCAGTTGGCCAGAATATCCCACCTCTAAACCAATTGTGGTTGACAGATGCCGGGCTGGCGCATGCGTTTCAGTGCTGATGACAAAGCCTCCCAACACCAGCACCAATACAGTCTCATCTGAGTCATGGCCTCCAAAATGCAGTGGGGAGCGTTGTGCCCCTGACGGCCTGCTGTTCCAGGACAGCCGCTTTGTCAAGCGTGGCTTGCGAGGGGGCGAATCCTTCAAATAGTCATAGCCATGGCATGGGAGCAGAAATCGCACATCGCCAACCTCCATCTGCAGAACAGCCGCCAGTCCGTGAGCATTAGTTCCGATTACATTGTATTCCACCCACTCTGTAGGAAGCAAAGAAATACTAAGTATTAGTCAGATAATACAGATTCATGGTATCAGACAGAACAACACGGTGAACAAGCATGACCCTTCAACTAACTATGCAGCAAGACCAATTGCCATGATGCAGGATTGAGTGAGCCAAGAGAAGCCAACTGCAGAGCCTTTCAACTGGGTTCCCTTGCGCTCACTGGCCGTCCCTGTCATCGTGCTGCAGACCAGCCCCAGGAGATTCTTAGAGACTGACGTTGTCAAAGATACACTCAAAACAATCTTCTAAACAAAACAGTACAAAAATATGCCGTGGCAACTGCACAACTCATTTTTCCTTGCCTTCAGGACAAGTTCCTGTGTTGGGGTCGGCTGGGCCTTGGCACGCCCTTGAAAGCTGGTGTCCTCAAGCGCCTCCTCGACAAGGGACCGCACACTGAGAGTCTGCATGATCATGAATTCCTTCCCATGCAAAGACACACCCTCCGCCACGAATAAGGCAATTTTGCACACTAACTCCTCAACAAAGGCAGTATCTATTGGTGCCACGTTGAGCTGGAGAGAGCGCGGCTGGAGGGACTGTAGTGGATACTTCTGGAAGATGAGGTCAAGAAAGTTCTGCAAGAATTCCACACAAGCAGATGCACCAGATATCTCACATTGTGCTTGTAGTGCATGAACAAACAACTCTTGTAAACTGGCGCCATGTGCCAAACAAGAAACCAAGCTAAAGAAGGAATGTCTGTGGCATCCAGCCTTGCCATCATTTTGCACGAGTAGTGTAACAGTACTCCATTCCAGCAAAAGAGGCATTGAGACTTGGTGACTTTAAACTAGCCAGGGCCAGGCCAGCTGACAATCATCACCACTGGTGACAAGCTCAACAAAAGAAAATGCTCGTACATCACTGGGTATTGAAATGTAAGCATTCCATCCAACCTGAATTGTTATCCAAATTTTATAGTTTGTTTTTAAGCAAAGCCGCTCTTGGCAATGTTGACAGTTCTGAACCAATGCAAATGGAGACCCCAGCTCTTCAATGCTCTCAAGGTATCACCAGTGAACATTTTGGCAGGGGCAGAGCATGCCAACATCATGACTGATTCAACACTCAAATTCCCTCTATGTTGTACCCATCTTCATCGTGATGAACACTACACTCACTTTCCTGTCAGGATACTGTTGAAAGAGAGCTTGGATGCTTGAATGATCAAATATACGAACGCTGCTGACTACCCACCTGTTGCGAAGATGCAGGGGAGCTAAGAGGTGGACTTTGCAGAATCCATGACTCTGCAGACCAGCCGTCCCCAGCTGTGGTTCCAGGTCGCAGTGATGAAATTGCGTCATGTGTAAACTGCAACAGCACAGCATAATCATGGAGCACATATTGCGCAGTCACAAAGTAGAGACAAAAGCAACTGTCTTGCATCTTAAAACAGAAAAAAATGTTCCAATATGTTCCAGTATGTAAAAGAAGCATGTTGACCAGCCATCTGGGTACTGATGTTACTGGTGTTGACTCCCAGGGACCAGATAATCCTAGTCAGGAAGAAGCATCACGTTGAGGGCATCAAGTGCATACCATCACTATTGACATTGTCCATGTTGAGCTCTTCAGCTTGCAATTGTGGTGATGCATTTTCGTTGCTTGCGATCTGCAGTTACTCGATTGAACTGCATTGATAAGGCAAGCTGATACGCGACAGGTACTGAGCAGCAGCAATATTGTGTCCATTGTCACATAAAGCTGTGAAATGACTGCCCTTGTCATCAACCACATTAACATTGACACCAAGGACTGCCCATTTCGCCAATGCGAGGTACTGGCATACAGATGTGCGCACTTCGATGGCAGCGAGCAACAATATTCACGTCACCTGGCACATGCATTACACACGATTAATGCCAAACAAAGGTTCCACATAAAGGTGTGCATCGGTGTAGATGTAGTGTAGCTTTCTGAAAGCCACACTCAAAGGCACAGCTCACTCTCTTCAACTGGATATCTCAGTCCAATCTGCAGATGGATGCAACTGTTGCCTCATGAACAAGTGCAGAAGAATTGATGACATATACTGTCCAAAATACTGTGTGTGCTTCTGAAAACCACACCTCAAGTGAGCTGCAAGATGACCACACTTGTGCAGGGCCATGGCCACTCTGATACTTCAGCTCACTGTCACCCAGTTGCATTTCCAGGGATATCCCTCTCATGGACATGTGCAGAATGGATAAATAATCCCCAGAAGAATCCAGCAACAGATCAAGCCCTATCTGCAAAGGGCACAGCAGAAGTTACTTGGTAACATCCAGTTCAGCAAAGCAAAAGAGCAAGATGCTGTACTCATCCTCTCTAACTGCCTGAACAAGACAAAGTGGCGCCCTTGCACCGTGTAGGCCATTGAAGGTTGGTATTCATCCAAAGAACGTGTTTTATGTCCCTCGTCCTCTCATTTTATCACTTGAAATCTGGCCTGACATTGCTACCTTATTGATGTCCCCAGCCAACAACAACAAGCACAATGAAGTTTCGCATCTTCCATGAACATGTCATGAGGCGCTTTGCAACAGCTCACCACTACCAGGGCAAGCTTGATACTGGGCATAACAATACCTTATATAGTAATATACCCATTACCAATACCCATAGCATACCAATCTTTCTGCCTGCTGCCATATTCACTTCCAACACCAACCGGGCATGGGTTGCCTGGAACCTTCCTAGCAAGAGATGGAACTAACACAGATGTACAAGCTTCAATCCCCTGCAATGCATTGATGAAACAGTAACCAACAACTGTACAATAATGTCTTGTGTAACAGGGTGCAACAGAGGCAGCCAAACATTCGCGCAGCCCAGGGATGGCGTATATTGAGCACAGTGTCCCACCTTTGGGCATTTCATCTCCAAATGCATGTCCCTCATGGACCGAGGCTTTTCTGTTATGTTCTTTGTGGCACCCAGAATGCTCTGCACCTCAAGAGCTTTGAGATGCAAGTCTTCAGCGCTGTACCCGAGCTTGTTTTTTGTGAAAACTTGAGCCCAAGCCCACCTGTTTCATGCACAGACGACACAGCAATGGTTGGCTTCCAGTGTAAATTGCCAACATATTGACTTGCAACAGTCACAACAGAAACCTGCTTGTCCATGTGCCCTCAATTGCATGTCAATCGCTGGATGTTGCAGTGTCTTGATCATCAGAGCTGAATGCACGCAAGCACCTGCAACCAACATATTTACTCACCATCGGAATTCTGCAGCCTCTGCAGTGGTCAGCTTCTCCTCAAGGAAGGCCAGCTCCTCCTGAACACAGTCTCCACTTACAATGCCAGACTTGTACCACCTACAGCCATACCATCAATCACCTCATACACATAGAGCATCAGCCAAGACGTCAACATTCCAAGCGCAAACGCTCAGCTCCAGGCTGATGGAGAAAAACACCTGCCCTTGAAAATTTGCAGTCACTGCACAATCGCAAAAGCACCACTTTGCTGCAGTTCAAGGGGGCAGACAGACATGGGCACTGACCACCAAGCATCAATGCGATGGCATTCGCACCTTAAAAACAACATCCATTGGTGACCAAAGTCTCCAAAAGCATGAAGACAGGCTTTGCAGCCAGATGCACAGACTGTCATGTCTAATTACTGATCCACTCAATCAGTAAGAACACCTTCATTGCTCCACATTCATGAAGCAGGCCAAAATGCTCCAAGCGGCCAAGGATGCAAGAAAAAGTATGTTTTCAAGCACACTGCTCTTCATGGCAAACCTGGCTTAGTGCGGACATGCTCCTATCATGCTTCCAATTGTTACAAACTTATGACAACAACTATTTTCTTTCGCAATGTGTCCAAGGCCATTGGAGCACAAACGACACAGGGTATACTGTGCCAAATTCAAGCCAGGGGCGAACGTTTGATAGGCATTTTGCTTGGCAAAATGTCAGTGTGCACAGCCAGCAAAGCTTGGATTTCTTGCACATGTCAAGTCAATCTGGCGATATGTTGATGTCTTGAACATCACATATCGTCAGCAGAATAATATGCACGTTCGCACTTGCTTGTGCACTCATAAAAGTGCTTGAGCTGAACCAGGCAGAACCTACCGAGGAAGAAGTCTCTTCCGGTTCTGCAAGTACAGCTGCACATATCGTTGCCGATACTTGCGCCTTGACGTCATGCTCAGGCAGAACCTCTTTTCACCAGCAACACGTTGAATTTCTGACATCACAGCATGTATTGCGTGCTGCCACCAAAGATGTGGGCTTTTGTACACAGACTCCTGATATGCACACAGCCTCCATGTTAGCAAGATCGGACACAAGATATGAAGTTCAAGGTAAGGGCTTTGGGCAAGCAGCTGGTTTGAGCATGAACCTAACAATCCATTCATAACGTCTCACTACTGACTTTGTGCATTAATTTGGCAGCAGCTACTTCAGCCGCCCTGCACAATGGGGCAACAGGCCCTCAGAAAATGCATGATGTCACAGGGTCACATTCCCCAGCAGATACTGGATTCATCAACGACTTCCACACCGGCACACCTGCAATTTGTACAAGTTCCCATTGTTTGGCTATTCCCCTTGTTTAGCTATTCCCACAACTGTGTGCACCTGAACACAAGCAACAGAGGGTGTGACAGTGTGCTGGACAGTGATGCAAGGCAGCAACAAAATCTGTGCTCAAGGACTGAACAGCTTCCTGAAGATGTCAGCATTTTTTGACTTGTCTTGTATATGCGTCAACAGCATATGCTTCTGATGAGACAGGGAAAAACAAGCAAAAAGCAAAAATATGCCAACCTGTGGGCAGATCCTCCGGTGCTCGTAGAAGCAATAATACTCTTCAACTTGTGAGCACAACCCCAGGAAACACTGCAATGCTTTTGCAGAAACGGTCAGCAGCAATGCTGATGGATCCAGCTCAATGTGCAGTGCGGCCTCTTGTTCTGAAGATGACAAGCCTGGTAAGGCCTGCCATCTGAAACTGGCGCACACGTTCCATCTGTGGAGGATGCAAACGCCTCCACTGTTGCAAAGTGGTGGTCTGGTGAGAATAAGATCAGTGTTAATTTGCAACCAATAGAAGGACTTGTGAATCCTCCCTTTCTGGACTTGTCACACACATGATAACAAGCCTGCCCCTTGCTTCATCAAGTGACACAGGGCATTGTGCCATGCAATTCAACCATGACAACAACTGGATATTCTGAACATGGCTGACTTGGGACATCTGCTGGCCCCCCAGCAGGGAATGTAAACTTGCTTATTGTCAAGTGGATTTTGCACATATCCCACACAGAAAGCATTTGGCAGGGTCACAGGACTATTGACCCTGCTGCAAAAGATATGGTTGCCATGTCTAAGACAGCTTGCAACCTCTGCTTGTGCTCCTGCACAAACATAGAATTCGCAAAGAAATTAAACCACACATGACAGCATGGAGAACGCAGAATAATGGCCAATCCTGCATAGCATGCAGATAAAGGCAAATAGAGCACACTAGGAATGAGGACTGACACATCATGGTCCTGTAACAATATCCTCAGCTGTCACCCTCCTGGGCACATATGCAGCTCGAATCAACCCATACCACACAAGTTTTGGTAAGCACCGCAATCACCTGCTCGATTCTGGGAATGCAGATATGTCTGGCATTGCTTCTCTGTCTCTACTGGCCCCATCATCTTGTCCAATGGAGCAAAGGACATCAATGCGCACCCCCTGACAGCACACAGTGCAGGTCCTGCAGAGCTCAATACCACAAAAACCCAAGGGTTGCATCCCAGAGCTTGTACATTGCTTGGAATTCGAGATTCCAGCATTGCTGCACTGCCAACAGGAAATTACCAATGAAAACAGCAAGATGCAATGCCAGGCAGAATTGGATGTTGGCAATCTGCATACTGTCAAGCTTACACTCCGTAGTGACTGCACAGTCACAGGGCAGCATAGCTTCTGCGATTGCTCACAACATTTGAACACCACCTTCCACTGCACCCTGTTCTTACTCCCAAATACTGCATCCCACCAAAACGTCCACCACATTCACTGCCAGGCAAATTTTTTGTGCTGCCAGCATTAGGTGCAACAGTACTCCCTCAGGCAAAGTGGCCACCAAGCAAAATACAAATACCAAGTAACCACCATGCACTGAGTGCTTAGCAATACTGGCTACGAAATACACAACAGCTAAGCACTCAATACACACAACCAAGTGCTAAGCTTGGCACCTACTTCGCCTCCAACTCAGTCAAATGCAGTGAACTGTGCGTTTTGAGAAAGTGGCCACAAGTAACGGTAATTCCTTGTGAGGCCTCCGCAATACACAGACTGTGATCAGGGTCGTGCTCTGCCCCACATAATCCACAACAGAGCAGCTTCAGCATGTGCCAAATACAACCCATTCGCTACTGATATGCCTGCCCTGCCCACTGACGTCTTCGGTAAATCACCAATGTCTATTTCAAGCGCTGCAAGTCATGGATGCATCAGGGTCCATCCAACTATGAAAACACAATTTGCACACAGTGTGTGACACACACACACACTGTACACAAATGGCAAATTCGTACTATTGTGTGGATGATGGCATCACTGTTCACACATCTGCAGCCAGAAAAACAGAGATCAGGCTTAACTGAGCTACGGTTTAACAAATCGGTGCAAACTTCCCCAAGGGCTGACTGCCACCATGGGCCCTCCATGCCATATCTGCCAATGGATGAGTCACCACTAACACATCTTCAAACACAGCAACAGAAAATCTCTGCACGCACATCAAGAGCAAGGCCACTCACCTTTACGCCAATTTCACAAGAAAGAATTCCCACCTCCTGCTCCTTTGCCTGCGTAATTTGCAATCGCTGTACTGCAAGCTGAATCCCTTGTCTCTCACCCCCTACTGCCCCCCAATCTGTATCATTTGAGTGCAACACACTGGCCATTGACGCTGTACTTGCTGTCTGCCCTTCCAACATCACGGTAAGCCCATCAAATGAGATCTCCAAGCTGGAGGCAATCATGTACAGCACGTGCTCAGAGATAAAGCTGCAGGCGTCGACCACTGTACACATGAACACAAAGTTGCAATTAGTCAATTTTTCAACTGAAGTGGCATGTGCACAAGGGAGCAAGTCATGCATATGCATCCACAACGACCAAATGCAAATACTAGACACATGACAAAACATTGTACCAAGATGCTGCCAGGCAATGTAATATGTCGCATGGAATTCCAATCACCAACAGTACTGAAAGCAACGAACCCACCGCTTATTGGAATCAGAGGAAACATTTTCATGCAGAAGCTGCATCTCACAATGAAAATATCCGGTAATGCTCTACAATCTTGTGCTTCAGTGGACTGCCCTCGAACCAGTGTTGTTTCCCATCTGCATTCAACCTGGTTGGATGATTGTGCAGAGTTGAAACCAGCTGTGCTGACAGGACACAATAACTGTGCGCAACAAGTGCTTGTGCGTGCAAGGACGTTGGCTGGATTGCAATTACTATTTGTACTCTATGGGCAGCAATTCCTTGGTTGTGCAAAGACTGAAGCACAGCACCACCATGGCATCCATCAGTGTTGTAAACGTTTCACTTGTGCCCCTTTTCCCTTTGGGCTTTGAGTCACCCCGCCCTGCCCCAACCCCACGTTCTCTCTTTCTTGCTGTTGGTGTTGTGCAGGGTGTGTGCTCATCTTCTTGCACTGGGAGACTCCGCATGCTTTATATTCACAGAATGGAACAAGCTATCGCACAAACTTGCTCAGGGGGGGTCGTGTACGAGTTTTTTCTCAGTATTCAACCAGCCTTCGATATTGTGCAATGTTCTTGATACGCAGACATCGCGGTGGCACTAAGACTGGTGCTGGGACTGGGACCAGTACCAAGAACAATACCAGTAAAAAAGACGGAGAATAGTACAGGGACTGGCCATTGTTTTTGTTTTAGGGTTAGGTTTGGGTTATGGGTTGTTTTGTTTTCGCAGTGTATTCCAGGATTTGGGATTGGTTTATTTTAGGGTTTTACATCTTTAAAGTTGGCCTAGGTTTATTTCTCTGGGTTTTTCTAGGGTTGCCATGCAAACAGCCCACGCCAAGCCCTCAGCGCAAAGTACGAACAGCTCGCACACCACGGCAACTTGCGGGGCACAGCCGCCCCGCCCGCATTGGAAACCCGGAACCGCGTCGCCTGGGCGCGTTTCCCACCGCTTTCGGCGGCCCAGCCGCCGCGGTGCGCGCCGGACCGCGCGGGCCATGTCACTCCCACCTGGGCTCCACCCCTTCCTGCCCCCCCACAAGGCGGAGTCCACCGCGGCCAGCGCCACCCGCTTGGCGGCCGACTGCTTCTTTGCCAGACGCTCCGCGTGCTCCTCGAGCGTGATGTGCTGCGGGGCACAAGCAGGCGCGCGGGCGGCGGCGTTCAGCAGCATGTGATGCGCGGGGCACGGCGGTTGGCAGCTCCCCGCGGTTTGAGTCCGCGCCCGCGGGCTGATCGAGGTGAGCTTCGGCGCCATCGGTGTTGTGGGAAATCGATTTGGTGAATTTGCGTTGCCAGGGTGCTTCGGCGCCCATGCATCTTTCAGACGAATGAAGTCGGGATTGCAGGCATCCGCAGTGTGCTTCCGCAAAACGCCCACCCACCCACCCCAAAACCCCCCGCCCCCCACACAAAAACACACACAAATGCACCACCCGCACCCCACCCAACCCCTGCTCCCCACGATGGCACAAAACACGAAGGGGGTTGCATATTAAAGCATCCACCGAGGCGCGTCTCGTTGCGAGCAGCGATCAAACGCTGAGACTGGGGCGCTAGCGCTGGCCAGGACTGCCTGCGGCTTAACAATTTTGATAAGGTTGGGTCCGCATCTCTGCGACACAGATCGCGCGTCGGGGGAACAGCGGTGAATTGGAAAAACAAATAAACGGACATTGGCGCGAAGCGCCACTCGGCCACGTCACCTTTCCCAAACGATCCCCGCCAGAGGCCCACCTGCGGCATCTTTCTGCACGCCCCCCGGATTCTCACGCCCTCGATCTGCACGTGTATCCGTGACTTGCTCCGCCACCAGTGCCATGGCACCGTTATCTCGATCAGCTGCACAGATGCTGGGACAGGCAAACCACACCAAGGTCAGCAATCGGGGCAGAGCGTTCCACACAGTGCAAAAAGAGAATGGCAATCTATAGCAAGACGAAGGGAGTACAAAACAGGCCAGGACCTGAATTGCAAATCCATCAACTCAGCTGGACACATGGTCTGGTGGTACTTTGCTGTTGGCTTTTGACATAACAGCCTGTGCATCAGAGCAGTTTACCACAGAGGTACGCCTGGCCCATGAGGAGACTCATAAGACTGTGACTGGGGGGTGAAAGATGTGGCAGCCTTGCAGAGGGGCCAAACTTGACGTGCAATATGAGCAGGAGCACAACATCTTTACATCCATTGGACTGGGGTGTATGCTGCATGTATTGCAATTCAGTGGCACCTGGATCGAGCCCAGGTCATTATCCAAATCACTCCAGGCAAACAGCTATGACGACTGTACATGCTTCCGTACTTTCACTACGACTCTTCTGTTGTGCGTGCACCACCTGCAGGCAAGCTGAGACGTGGCAAAACTGCCAAGCTGCAGGGATGCACCTGCTTAAACAAAGTTGGCACTTTTGGAGGAGTCACACTGATTATTTGCAAAATGCAAGGCGTCAGAGCCTGTGCAAATGATTCATTCAGGGACATTATTCGTTTAACATGTTTGGTGGACAAGCAGTTGGATACATCATCTGCATGTGGCACTGTCTGCACACATGTTGATTGGAATGGTTGCGGATATGTGATCAGCAGGTTGTAGCTGCCTATAAAATCAACCAGCCATCGAGTCTGGTCCATCCTGCACACTGCCATGTTCTGCTCCTGGCTCTTCTGAGCAAACACCCCCTCCCCCAAATTAAAAGAAAGGAAAGAAACTGAAGAAGAACAAAATCGTCTTGCTATCAAC